GTCTGTTCTCAGTAGCAAAATAGAGATGGGAAATACTATCCTGTGGAGAAGACTGATTGGTGTCCACTCTTAGCAGAAGTCACCCAGGTAGTTGGCTTCAAAGGATAGGGAAAAAAAATTTCTTTTCTGAATCTTTAGGATTGTCAGCCTTCCTGGGAGGGAACTTGCATTTTGCCCCTTGGCCATGAAGGTATTTTTTTTTTTAACAGTGATAGACATGGAATTTCTTTACTCAATTGTTGAAATGTGTTCTCAAATTAAATGTCTCAAGATTTGCAGGACAGAAAGCCAAGTTGGTCCTGGGCCTCTATTGAGCAGCACCTCACATAAATGTGTTGAGTTAGTGGTTGTTTTAATATAGTGTTTGTCACTCTCACTGTTATAACAAGTGAAATCATCAATAAATCTTAGGTCGTACAACAAAGTTACCTGTCAGTTTTCTATTACAACAGCAAAACTCTGGGATCTTTTTTGGAAAACCATTTCTTGACTCCAGATTACCTGATGAAAGAAAGATGTAATTGTCGCTTCTTCTGCTTAGAGCAATTATCTAATCATAAAAAGATTGTCACCAGTCTCCCTGCAGACATTTTCTTATGTCTGAAATGTAAATTGGCAAGAGTTCTTGAATGCATATGTAATGAAATGTAAATAACCATTTTATCCTCAGAATTTAGAAGGTTTGGGGGTGGGTGTCAGGGAGAGAGAGCTGGGAAAGGAAGGGAAAAAAATGAAGTCATGTGACTGTGCACCCACAACACCTGACCTGCCTTTCATGCTGAGAGGTGTCCTGAGTTGTTCTGTGCCTGTCACAAGCCAGTGCCCTACCTCTTCCCCAAAGTTGCATCCAGAGAGAACACAACATCTTTGCTATTCTAGGCGGCGTCCTGGGGTGGGTCCACAGCCCTGCTCTCTCTGCCTGCCCTCTGCTACAAACGCCTTGTTTTCAAGCCTGTATTTTCTGCCCTCCACTTGAGTCCTAGCAAATCCTCTTTAATTTGAAAGAGCTCTGGGTTCTCAAAAGAAAATGTCTTAACATAGAGACATCTTATAGTAAGATTTCTGAAGTTTAACATTTTGATGCAAATATGGGTATGGCAAACGTCTTGAAAGGGCTGGCATGGATTATACTCAAGATGGCTTTCCACTTGGATATGTGCATCCTGTAATTTACTGAAGCTTAGCAAAATCCCTTCCCACACTCTCACAGTGGCACTGTGTCTATCCTGTTCCTATTCATTTTATAGATTAAACAGGACCGTGAGTCTTCTCAAGGCAGGCAGACAGAACAGATCAATACCATGGCAAGGGGCACTAAGGGGTTTTGTTTTTGTTTTTGTTTTCTTTTTTTGGACGGTCATGGGGCTTGAACTCTGAGCCTTGACTCCATCCCTCAGCTCTTCAGCTCAAGGCAAGCACTCTACCACTTGAGCCACCATACCACTTCTGATTTTCTGGTGATTAATTGGAAATAAGAGTCTCACAGACTTTCTTGCCTGGGCTGGCTTTGAACTATGATCCTCAGATCTCAGCCTTCTGAGTAGTTAGGATTACAGGCGTGAGCCACTGGCACCCGGTTCTAAGGTGGGTTTTGTAACCCATATGCTCCTTCTGTCCTTTCCTCTCCTACATCAGACACAGGAGCCGAAAGGTCTTACTCGGCCCCTAACAAGCAATCCTGCTTTAAGTCAGGTAACTGTGTTCAATATCCATATGCAGAGAGCCTGTGGATCCTCCAAACCCAGTATCCCTCGGGGGTTTAGCGGTTGCTGGAGGTCTTGGAGAGGTGGTCAGTAGGGAAGATGTAGGATAGAACCATGAGCCATTTGCCAGACATCACAGTTGTTGCATATCTATGAATTTGTTTCTATGAAATGATGATAGTGCTATTTTTGCGGAAGATGTATGAGGTTTAAATGAGATAATACATGTGAAATGCAGAGTACTAGGTATGTGGTGACTATTGTGACTGCTGCTATTTCCATCACCGATACCCATTACCTCCTCCAGTACTGGTTTGAGTGTTAGTCATCAGAAAGTTGGCTTGTGTTTGCCTTGATTGACTAGCCCTCAGGTTTTTCCTGCTTTAACAGGTGTTTTATACAATGCTTCACATTGCCGTGAACTTGCTATGAACTCCCACAAGGTCACCACAGAGGTGACTCTCTTGGCTGCTTTCTGCCACTGCACAGTCTCCCAGGGCCCCATCAGCTGTTGGCAGCGGGGAGCCTGGGAGCCTGGGTTAGGTGGTTGGCGGAGTATGAGCTTGCTGAGCTACAATAAGTGCATGATTTTCATCACTGGGAGGTCTTGAACTGCAGGCACAAAGCATTTTTAGGTTTTTAGATTGCAGTCCCAAATTTCAGAAATGTCATGTTGCTCTAAGATGTATAATTTTCGTGTCCCCAAATTGAATATTCTAAAAAAGCCCCGCTCTGACCTTTGGGTGTGTCCGTGCAGATTCTAGCTGGAGGGTTCTGGTGCTGTAGATTCAAAGCTTGCTCCGTTACCAGAGAACCTGGCAGAAATGTCTTAAAATAATCACAGTCATGCTCATTTTATTTACATGTGCCCACTCAGAGAATGAGGTGGTTTGTCATAAAAGTCAGCATAATAGCATTTAAAAAAAAAGGCAAGAAGTAATGACTTGCTCACTTAGAAGCCACAAGAGCTCAGGAAGGGCACACTAAGGAGGAAAAGAGTCCTGGGAAGGTCAGCAAGGGGCAGGGGCAGGTTATGGGCGGGGCTACCTGTGCCAGGATCTCCTGGGATTGAATGAGATGGAACTCAGCTCTGTGGCAGGACCCTGCCATTCTTGGTCCCTCGGCTCTTGCGCACTTCTTACTGGAATCTGTTCCTGGTCTTTCCTGCCTGTCTTTCCCCCACGGAGAGTGTCCCCGCTGTGCCCAGCACAGTCCTGTCCCTTCTTCTGTGGTGCTGTGCTCAGGCGCTGTGCATGCTCTGCCCTCTGCATGTTCTCCTGGCATCTCTGCTACCTCCAACATCAAAGCAGCCTCTCAACCCATGTCTTCAAAATTAGTTTCTCTGGGCACTTTCCATCCTCCTCTGCTCTTCCTTGCTGCCTCATCAGTGGCTCAGAGACCCCCCCCCCACACACACACACACTGGCCACCCCTGAGACAGCCCTGCCCTGAGCCATCCCAGAAATGGCAGACTGGTTTGTTCTGCTTACACTTCAGCTCCATGTGTCCAGCCAGACCTCCTCCCAGGACTCCACACTCCCCCTCCCTCTCTGCTTCCTTCAGAGAAGCAGGTTGACCCAGAGAGACCCTTTAATTGCTTATCCATTTATCTCAGCCTTGCCTTTACTGAATCTCCATGGAGCTTCTTTGAACCTCTGTAAATTATATATATATATATTATATGCTATATATATATATATATATATATATACACAAAAAAAATGATGAATGAGATGTGAAAAATGGGCTGCGATGGAGACAAGTTTACAGTGATACTTGAATGTCTGGTTGCATGCATCCGATAGCAATCTGTGGACATGGAAGTGTACTTGTCCCAGCCTGGGAGCAGGAGGCTAATATCAGCCATGAGCACAGCCAGGCTGGGGCGAGAGCTCTCTTCTGGACTGCAGTCTGCTGTCCCCTGGCTGTGTCCGCTCCCTGGGGGCTCCTTTATGAGGGCACTAACCACATGTGTGAGGGCTCCACTCACCCACCTGAGCCACTCACCTCTGAAGGCACCACCTCCACGTACTTGACTGAACCACTGGGGTACAGGGGTAAGGCTCCAAGGATGCAAACCGTGTGTGTGCTGTGCACTCTCGGAGGAGGCTGCTCAGTCCTCAGGGCTCCCTAGCTCCACTCAAGTCTGTGGGTTTCTGTAGATCACATCCCCTTTCCTAGACTGGTTCTCTCTGAGCAGTCAAAACACTTTTTCCCCTTCATTTGCTCTTCCCAGGCTTCCATCGCTCTAGTCTCTTTGATTCTGCAGAACAAGTTGAGTGCTTACATGGTAGCAACACTAAACGAAGGCATTTTACAAATGGTAGACTATTTCTGTCACTACCTGGTGCATCTGGCTTGTGTTTGTCCCAGGTGTTCCGTTAGGCCAGAGTTCTCCAATATTAGCAGCGTTGGCATTTGAGTCTGCACAGTTCTTTGTGATGGGGCTGTTCTGAGCATTGTGGGAAATTTAGCACATCCTTAGTCTCTTCCCACCAGGTGCCAGTAGGAGCCCTTCACATAGCTGTAACAAACAGGAACACCTCCACACATTGCTAGATACCTCAGGTGGCAGCTCCACCCTTGCATGAACATCACTGGTCTACACCGAGGCATCATCAAGGACAGAATCACCTTCTTTTAATCCACTCCCATAGTGTGTGGGAATCTTAGGGTTCATTTTTGACTGTGGTTTTGAACTGGGCTTGCTGCCTCAGTCACAAAGACAGTGAGCAGAGGCATTGATGCCAAGTGATGCTCTGAGAGCTTTTCCATCTCTGTAGTGTGGATTTCAACTATCCACATGCAAGTATATATCCTATACATATACACCCATGTATAAATATGTATGTATCTCTATACGTGTGTGTATATATCTACATATATATATATATATATATATATATATACACACACACACATATATATATAGTGGTGGTGCTCCTGAGGTTTTGAACTTAGGGCTTTATACTTGCTAGGCAGGTACTCTTCTGCCTGAGCCATGGCCCCAGCCTTTTTTGCTGCAGTTATTTTTGGGATAAAGTTTTATGCTTTTGTCTGGGTCCAACTTAACATTATCTTATTTATATCCTATATTATCCTGCATAGTTGTGATGACAGGTGGGAACCCCTCTGCTTAGCTTATTGATTGAGATGGGGTCTCTACCTCACAAGGAGCTGGGATTACAGGTGGGAACCAATGCGCCAGCCTCCCATGTATGTGTCTTTACACTTGGCACTACAATAGCATCCACGATATGAAGAATATTAGGGTCACCCACATCTCCCTCTCATCAGCATCAAGCGGACCAGCTCTTCTGAACGAGTGTCTCCTGGGGGTCGGAGGGAGAACTCCGGAGACTCCAAAGGAAGCCGGAACCGTACAGGCTCCACCAGCAGCTCCTCGAGTGGCAAGAAGAACAGCGAGAGGTAAGACTGCCCCTTGGTTGGGGCCACTGCCCAGAGGTCCTCTTATGCTGGTCTCTGGGGCTAGTCAGACCCTTGTACAAGGACAAGCCGCAGCTCTCGTTTGAGCACCAGGTCTTCTCCTAGGGTGCTGTGGGTGAATGAAGCAGAGCACTCCTGCTCCAATGCAGTGTTGTTCAGACTCCCTGCACACTGGTGTGGGCAGAACTGAGTGTACGGAACCCAGGAATGCCTGTGAGTTCCCGGGAACACCCCTTAGATCTCCAGTAAACCCCCTACAACTACCCTGGAATTACTCTTAGTGGATGTTTTCCGCTTGTCAGCAGTGTTTGCTAAGACAGAATGGGCCAGAGGTGGTGGTTTTATAATTTGTCAGAGTCTGTTGTTAGTAATGACCCCAGAAGCATGGGCCATTTTTTCCTTCTGGTTCTCTGACCTTCACTTACTTCTAACTTTGTAGGTTTTTAATGAGGCTAGTTTATGATAGATTTATGATACCCATGAACATCTAACCATAACATTTTAGTCAGGAAAGCTGCTTTGCACACTTGGCCAGCCTGTTTTAAGAGCGGCCACAAGCAGGGCGCCGATGGCTCATGTCTGTAATCCTAGCTACTCAGGAGGCTGAGATCTAGGATCACCGTTCAAAGCTAGCCCAGGCTGGAAAGTCCATGAGACTCTTATCTCCAATGAACCACCAGAAAACCAGAAGTGGCATTGTGGCTCAAGTGGTAGACCACTTGCCTTGAGCTAAAGAGCTGAGGAACAGCACCCAGGCATAGAGTTCAAGCCCCACTACCGACAAAAAAATAAAAGTGGTCCCAAGCTGGAGTCAGTTTTTCAGGGTGGATCTGATCTGTGTTTTTTGGTGTGTTTCTGACTAACACACACTGGATTTTTACTTCTATGATTTTGGTATTGTGTTCAGCAAAGCCCAAGACGGAATTTCAGAGGCTAACCATGTTTCTCCTCCAGTGTGTTTGTAAGAGGAAGGCTTAGTCAGAGCAAAGCCAGCTGCAAACCACAGCCTGTCAAGGTTCCGAGTCTGTAAATGAGTCATCATTCAGTCCCACAGAGACCTAAACGCTCTTTCAGGTTTGTTCCTAAAGGGATCTTTGGTGGGAAAAAAACACAGATGCTCTTCATTGTGTGGAGGGTCAGGTCCACAGCCAGTAGACAATTCAGAACCACTGACGTGGGCGCCGACTTCTTCTCACTGAGCCGATTAGTACTGCTTATGGAAGTTAGGCTAACTGGGTGATAATACTGTGGAAGAGAGGCCAGGTGGCCACTGTGGCCGCAGGGGGTGTCGTGGGGGGAGGGGTGCGATGGGATTCTCACAAGGCTTCAGATTTAGAGTGAACGCAGAGTTGACCTACAATATCTAGATACATCTTGGCAGTTCTTATAAACTTGGCTTCTCCTTGGCACATCTGAATCTTATTAAGCATTTCCAGGAAGAATCTGCATTGTGTAAACTCCAGATCTGTTTTATCTTCTAAATCCTATGGCTTTGGTTAATGTGCTGGGTAAATATTTCCATAATAGATACTTACAAAGGGATTTTTGAAAAGCACCACAGCAGGGATTTTGGAAATGAGGGACTGGGAAAGTTTACTAATCATTTTCTAAAAATAATCCAGACAATTGAAAGTATCCATCCAAAGATTAATATTTAGGGGTTGGAGGCATGGCTCAGGTGACAGGAAACCTGCCAGTGAGTAAAAGCATCCAATACCAAGTTTAAGTCCCAGTCTTGGACAAAACAGTGACAGTGAGCCCTCCCTCACATTGGGACTGGGAATGGTAGAAGTGGGCAGGTCTCCTTCTGGCCGAGTGTTGCAGATCCCCTGTGTTTCTTGTAGGCCCAGGAAATTAGCAGCGAGGAGTGGCTTGGGAACCAGGGATGGTGTGGCATCCAGACCATCCAGCTGGCCTGCCCTGTTCCTCCAGTTTCCTCCCATCCCCAAGTGAGCAGCCCCTATCCTGGGCTTACTGACCTCGCCCAAGAGGAGCTGAAGTCTCTGTAAGGAGGCCTATCAGGTGGGACAGAGAAGGATGACTATCTGCAGTGGGCTCCTCCCCGTGCCCACCCACAGTGTTCCTTCATCCTCCCTCTGGCTGTCTTTGGGTCCTGTAGATAGCCAGACCAAATGGAAAGGGTACTGAAAGATCTGAACTGAGAACCAGTTCCGACCTTACTTCAGGCCTTGGTTTTTCCTCTGTGAAATCAGGATGTTATAGCTCAGTCCCTTGAGTCACTTGAAGAAGTTAACTTGGAGGAAAGCACCCACTGAGTGCTTCTCCATGGTAAATGGTCATCCTTGCTGTGTTGGCTGTTGGGGAAAGTGAGGTGTGAAGAGCACAGCTTCCTGCAGTTCTTGCTATGTTTTCCTCATGTGTAAGCTTGGAGAGTTTGATGACATCTGAAGTAAATTTTTTTTAATCTACATGTTCGATTACATTTGCATAAGTGATACAGTCTTGTGATTACAGACCGATTTTGACAAAATCTAACCATAGTTAGGGGGAAATAAAGCATGATCCATCCTGTGATTCTCCCACCAGCCAGCCAAGTACCAACAGTGTCCAGGGCCAATTCTCTCCCCACTCCCTCCCCCTGCTCCACCTCATCCCATCCCATAGCTAGAGGCCCTGGGCCTCAGGCATCAGAGGGCCACTAGCACGCACCTGGCCTGCTGTGAGAAGACGCAGACCACATGCACATGCAGTACTTTGAGTCACACCAGTGACAGCTCATTAGTGACAAGGTGCATGTGTCCTGCACGTGTACAGGGCTGCTGTGGCACTAGACACTTCTGCATGAAGTAGAAAAAGATTCCCTTTATGCAAGAACAGTTATTCCCCATCAGCGTATGTATTTCTCAACAAGAACAAGTAAAGCAAATGTAAAGCTATTTGGTATGCACTGTGTGAACCTTACCATTGAACAGAAAGTGTTTTAATCATTCACATTTTTTCAAAACACAGGCCTTTATTTCAAAATAATTACATTTTGCTTTCACAGACATTATAATCTTCATGCTCCTGTATTTTTATATTCTCTAGATCCCATATTCTTCTTGCTTCTATATTTCATCTTCTTTAAAAATAATCACAGAAGCCAGGCACCAGTGGCTTGCACCTGTAATTCTAGCTACCGAGGAGAAGGTAGCAAAGTGGGAAGCGCAAGGGCAGGGCATGGAAAATGCATCCTTCTGTGATACTAGCCTCACAATCAGCTGCTTTCCTTTCCGTAGGACTTGACACCAAAAAGTGAGAAAATCAAATGCAGTGAGAAAGTGCATCCAGAAAGATAGCCAGTGAACTAGAGCAAAGATAATCAAGCTTCATCTCTGAGACTGGGAGGTGCAGGCAGAGTGGTGACCATGGAGGAATGATAGCCTTACCCTGCAGAACAGGGTGAAGGGGTCCCAGCTGGGGGACCCCTCTTCCTGACCCCCACCCTGAGGTGGGCATCCCCACCACAGGGTGACTCCTGTGAACCTGGCTTCCTTCTCCCCCCCCCCACCAGCACCCTTCTGTGCGAAGTGGCAGGACAACCCCTCTCCCCTACATTTCTTCTCTCTGTACCTGCAGCCATTTGCACAGTGATGGACACACAGGCTCCTTATGCATTTGTTGAATGAAAGGCAGGTTGTTACATAAAAACCAGAGCCATTTAAGAACTAGGTCAAGAGCGCCATCTACAGGTAAGTGATTTGAACACCACACTTCAGATTTAGAAACATTTTTAGTGCAGGGCAAGTCAGGTGACATGAAATAAGTTTTTTTTTTCCTGAAAAGATCATTTCACACCTTAAGCCATGGAACCCTTTGCCTCTTAAATTTTAAATACTCAGTGCTGACATAAGTTGTTCCAAGTTTGTAACCCTTAGGTAAGGGGCACAGAGGTGCTTACATGTCCAGAGAGGAAGTGGGAAGAAGTATTTATTAATAACGGTGTACTGGGCACTTGGCTGTGTGTCAGGCCGTCCTGCCAACACTGTGCAGGGGTTCTGTCACCGCTTTGTAGGTTATGGAGGTGAATGAAGCTTTTTGTCTGAGCCCTCCTGTCTCTCATAAAATCTGCAGCACCCCCTGCCGTGCTAAAGTGGTATTGGCCGGTAGGGTGTGAAGCTGTAGTTTATGTCCCCATTGGTCTCCAGAGACTTCTAGGGTTTTTTTTTTTTTGTTTTGTTTTGTTTTGTTTTTGTTTTTGGGTCCAGTCATGGGGCCTGAACTCTGGGCCTGGGCACTGTCCCTCAGCTCTTCAGCTCAAGGCTAGCACTCTACTACTTGAGCCACAGTGCCACTTCGGGCTTTTTGCTTATGTGGTGCTGAGGAATCGAACCCAGGGCCTCAAGCATGCAAGGCAAGAGCTCTACCGCTGAGCCACCTTCCCCGCCCCTCTCCAGAGACTTCTAAAGGCGTTTGTTAAATGGTTCCTACATGACCTTTCCCTGGGCAAATGTTGTTTACACAGCATGGCATTTTCACTTCCTGTGGACATTTTCTTCCCTCAAATGCAATCATTTTTGTTTTAGTTGAGAACTAAAGTTTTCATAGAGTGAAAAGGCCAAGGAAAGAACGTGTTTAACTTTAGGATGAGTTTCTCCTCCATTTAGCTTGCTGGTGGCTGTGATGTGTCACCCCCAATACCTGGTCCAGGCCCACAGCACCCTTCAGGAGCACGGCTCACCCAGGGGAGGGTGCACAGTGAACTCCCTGCAGAAGTAGCTGCACTGGCCTCTGGACAGCTGTCTGCAGACTCCATCCATAATGTGGCCAGTGGGAGTTAGCATGTGAAAAGGCAGACAGCGCCCCCCAGAGGCCTAGTGTCCATTGCCACTGAGATCTCAGCATAGGGTGTGTGGTGCCGTCCTGGTGTCCACTGCACTGCCCCAGGCCAGCCTTGCACTTGAAAGGTGGCTTTCTTGGACCAAATGGCCAGGCCCCACCTGACCCAGGGAGCACTGCTGCCTCCTCCCAGACCTTAGGCTGTCTCCTCCCAGGGCACAGCCCCTCTAGCTCTGTGCAGCACTGCACATCTGGAGTGGCCACCAGAGGAACCAAGAGGTGAGGAGGTCATCAGGCTGGAAGCCCCTCTCCTGGCTTCTTCTCCAGGCCTCCAGGGGTGGGTAGTTTCTTCAAGCCTAGTGTTTAGTCTTCTGCCCCAGGACAGGACCAGGCTTTGTCCTGAGCTGATGGGGAGGGCAAGGTAGCTGACATTAGGAAGAGTCATCGGAGCCAATTACACAGCCCATGGGCAGGCCATCACCCCCATCCTGAGTTAAATGGTAGCTGGCTCGAAAGGCTTGCTTTCCATGTAGATGACTGATTCTGGAGGGTGAGTACACAGGGCTTGGTTCTAGCTAATTAACTTGCTTTAATGAGAGGCCATGATGGTTTTGGCATTGAGTTGTCATCCTGGTGCACCCTGCCCACCAGGAGTTGAGAAGAGCCTTGTCATGTCTCAGGTTCATGTGCATGGGTAGAAATTGCATCTCCTCAGGTACTCTTAGCTTTCAGGAAAGATGATGGAGTGATAGCAGGGAAAATGAAGTCTGAAGTCAACATAATACATATATAGTGTATATATAGTATGTGTATATGTATATACACTGTGTATATACTATATACACGCTATATACTACATTTCTTAAGACACTTGAAATTTTTTTAAGTAGAAGTAGAGCAGCAGAACGTTTTCCAAGCACAGCATACCCAAAAGTGACTTCAGACTTGAAGGGACACGGGCCCCTGGTTCCATCTGACACTTGCCAGGTGACGGTTGCTGGTTCATATGCATGCTCCCTTTTGTTCATCCCATAAAACTAAAAGCATGACTCGGGAGGCTGAGATCTGAGGATCGCTGTTCAAAGCCAGCCTGGGCAAGAAAGTCTGAGACTCTTATATCCAATAAACCACCAAAAAAATGGAAGTTGCTATGGCTCAAGTGGTAGAGCGCTTGCCTGGAGCTGAAGAGCTGAGGGACAGCGTCCAGACCCAGAGTTCAAGACCCATGACCGACCAAAAAAAAAAAAAAAAACTAAACTAAAAGCATGAAACAGACAGCATGTCTCAGGACAGACTTGCACAGAGCTGAGCAGAGAAGGGCGCCATGGAACAAGAATAGGAAGAAAGCAGCCTCAGCGACAAAGCCATTCAAGGCTGAGAGAAGGCTGGTGAGACAGGCCAGAATGCCCCCGTCACAGGGCCATCTCCCCTCCCCTACTACTGCAGACCCTCAAGAAGCATACATGGCGACCAGGAATGGAGCAGGGCAACCAGGAAAGATGCCTTAGGCCTCTGTTTCCAGAAAGCTTTAGCCCTCCAGACTCTGCCCTGAGAGCTGAGGGAGGAATGAGGCAAATGTGAGAGCACCCAGGGAGAAAGACCCCGTGTGCACGTCAGCCCCACATGCCCCAGGCACTGAGAACAAACATAGCAGACTGCAGAGCAAAGATGCTGCCCTTGCAGACTTACCACCCCATGGAGAAACACAGTTAAGGAGAAAGTGAAAAGTGGAGCAGACCAGGAGGAGGGCGCAGGGCCTGGTGGAAGGTATGTAGACACACAGGAGTCTGAGGGAGCAGTGCAGGCAGTGGCTGTGAACACAGACTGAGCAGCACTGGCAAGTCTTCTGCAGGGCCAGTGTCCAGGAGGAGGGACAGGGAGCTGAAATACCAGCTGGGTTCACAGAACAGCAGAGTGAGCACAGAGGCTGAAACTTGGTAGCCAAGGGGGCCATAAAGGGAGAGGGCCCTGTGGAGCTTTCCTGGAGCCTCAGGTCAGTGGAAACCTGGGCTTTTACAGATTGTCAGTGACCATAGTTCAAGCTTTCAAACTACTCTGCCAGTAGCAGAATCCGGCTAAACAGAGGGAGGATCACTTTGCAGTCCCCACTGTCTATGTGCGTGGGATTCCTGAGACATCAAGGCTATCAATGCATGCCATTATTTATGCCATTGCCCAGTAAAGGGTAATTTCTAGTCAGGGCATTTTTCATTGTGTTTCAAGTTAAATTTTAAGGAGAAAGTAAGTAATATTAGAAACATCTGTTCAGTCTTTTTTTTTTTTTTTTTTTGCTGGTCGTGGGGCTTGAACTCTGGGCCTGGGCGCTGTCCCTCAGCTCTTCAGCTCAAGGCTAGTGCTCTACCCCCTGAGCCACAGTGCCACTTCTGGCTTTTTTCTTTTTGCTTATGTGGTGCTGAGGAATCAAACCCAGGGCCTCAGGCATGCAAGGCAAGCACTCTACCACTGAGCCACCTTCCCAGCCCCCTTAGTCTATTTTTTAAAAATATGCAAACATTAAAAAAAAAAGTCTATGCCTCTAGCTGCACTTCAGGAGCAGGGATGAAAATGCCCTTCTGTGCAGCGCATGTTCATTTCATGTCTCATTCCATATCTCAAAGCACAGGAAAACAGGCAGTGCAGGGGGAGCAGCACTAACTTTGGAGTTCTCCCTCGTTGGAATACAGGTAGTGGCTCATACTTTCTGCCCTTCCTGAACATCTGTTCCTGTATGTTGTTATAACAAAATGTCTGAGGCTGGGTATTTTGTAAAAAAAGAAAAAAGAAGAAGAAGAAGAAGAAAAAGTAGTTAATTTGGGGTACTGAAAAGTCCAGGATCTGGCAGCCACATCTGGTGGGGGCTCCTTCTGCGTCATTATGTGACAGGTGGTTTTACATAGCCAGAGGATGTGTAGAAGAGGCCAAAGTACTGGGGTGACCTTGCTTTAAAATAGCTTTTTGTGATGTGTGCTAACCGTGGGGCTTGAACTCAGGGACAAGGCCTTGGCTCTGTCCCTGAGATATTTTTTTTTCCTCAAAGCTAGTACTCTGCCACTTGAGCTACAGCTCCACTTCAGACTTTTGGTGGTTAACTGGAGATAAGAGTCTCGTGAACTTTCCTGCCTGGGCTGGCTTCAACCCCAGTCTTCAGTTTTCAGCTTCCTGAGCAGCTAGGATTATAGACATGAGCCACTGGTTCATTAGTCCATTCTTAAGGAGGCTAATACATTTCTGAGAGAACTGACTCACTCCCAAGAATCTGAACCCAGTTTTTAGTCTGGACCATTTTGTTTCTGTGTGCTTCTTTTGCAGTGTAATTTCCTTTGTTTTCTCACTCATGTATGTGTCATTTGTGTAGCAAGCAGGTGCCCAGCAGCTGCAGCTCATGGCTTATGGCATTGTAAGCTGCAAGATGAAATACCTCAGGCAGTCTTTAAACTCTGTTTTTGGTTTATATTCACAGCAAACCCAAGGAGCCTGTATTCAGCGCGGGTAAGTCTAATTTGATTCCTGTATGGGCACCCCTCACTTCACTCACTTGCTGGCTTTAGTAAATGGCTACATCTAGGTGTCACTAAGGGACAGATAAGAAGTAGCCACCCAAAGGCCAGCCCTTGGCACTTCAGGGTATGGGGACTGAATGGTAACCAGCCGCTTGGTGCGGGGGGGAGGGAGGGGGTCACATGGCTCAGATCACAGCAAGACTGCCCCATCCCTGTCCCTTCTGAGACCCATATGGGACCCATCAGTGAGGGCTGCCCTGGGTGTCCACTAACTCAGCTCTGCCTCCACAAGTGCACGTCTAATGGAAAGTTCCTGGTGCACTAGGTTGTATAACTTTATATACAAGTAGCTTTTTTGTTTCCTGCCTATCATTTTCTAATGTGCAAACTAATAGTTCATAGATACCTTTCCATATATATGTATCCATACATATATATATATATATATATGGATATATTTGTTTTGTTTCTGGCAATAGTAGGGTCTGAACTCAGGGCCTCATGCTTGCTAAGCAGGTGCTCTGCCACACTGCTAGCCTTTCCTGTGTGTTTTTGTAGCACACTTTATAATAAAGTGGATGCTGGTGTTTTTCTAACCAGGTTAACTTTATTTTAAAGTGTATTTTATAATGTGAAAAAATTTGCAAGTGTGTAAATGGTTACATGCACTTAATTGTCCCATATCTTGCCCTTAAATTTTAAAGTAACCATAGAAGATGCAGTTTTATATTTATCCGCATGTGCGTTAGTTAATTTCACTTTCAGGAAGCATGAAAATACTCACTGCGAATGTAATAGCTGCAAGCTAGCAGACCTGTACCCCATGCACACTTGTGAGAATTGCTGAAATGTCCAGTGGTCCTGGAGGAGGCAGGGGCAGGGCAGCCCATGGCCCGCCTGCTGGTTAGTGAGCGCCCAAAGCCACACTGCGGTACCCACCGTCTCTTTATCTAGCCCTTCTGTCTCTGTCTCCGAAATCGCAAGGGAAGCGCCGCGTGACCCACTGCAAAGGTAGGCAGCATTTCCAAGCCCATAGCTCTCTAGCAAGGCTGCCAGCCCAGCTCCAGAGACCGTTTTCATACAAGCAAACCCTTCCTTGTGTGGAAATGGTCCTGTGAGGCCAGCCCACTCCCATTTGTTTGATAAGAGCATCCCTGAGCTTTGACTTGGATGAGCTTTCATGCGTGGCTATGATCTGGATCCTGATTATCGGCTGATCATAGGAATTCCTAAAAATCCTGAAGAGAGCTATAGGGCAGCCCTGGGTGTCCACTGTTTAGCATGTGTCCTGCACTACTGGCCTGTCCCTACTAAGTGCCTTTGAGTTTGGTGAGTGTGTGTTGTTCTCCTAACAATAGCCATGCTCCTCCCACCCCCATGCTGTATTGTGATCTGAGCTGTAGAATGTCTGAGTCATCTGCACAAAGCCACACAGGGGTAAATTCTGTGCCATTTTGACCTAGTCAGTAATGTAACACTGCACATGGCCTCAGAGAGCAGTCTCAGCAGCACACAGCCAGCAGGGCCTTCATATGCACCGACACTGTGCAACCACAGTGGACTGTGTGTGTCCCACCGACATGGCACTATGCAGACTTCATTCCCAACCTTCATTCAGGGAGTGCTCAGCAGGACTGGCTCACATTTTACAAAGAGGGTGGTGGGTCCAATCACTTCTCAGTGAACTTTGAACTCTGCTGCTTCTCTTTTCAGTAAGTTTGCCTGCTGGGTGCTTTCTAGTGTTCATTTGGAGTAATCAGCCAAAATGCTGAGATTTGAGTAGGGGATTCGAGATGGGTGAGGATTCTGAAGAGAACAGCATGAGCAGAGACTTGGAGGCAGAAGAAGGGCATTACAGAGCAGAGAGACACTTTAGCCAGAGAGAATCCTTGTGGGGATTTGCGGCAGAGGAGGCTGCATGAGGTAAAGAGCCCAGCAGAGCGGGTCTGCCTGCTTGGCCCAGCAAGTAAGACTAGGAGGAGATGTGTGTTGTTCTCCTAACATGCATAAAAGCAGTATGGCTTTGTGGACTTTGATGGGTTTGAGCCAAGATGGTTAGGGAACAGTAGGAGGGCCTGCAGTGATGGTCACGCCTGGACTGGAGCCAGTGCACCAAGGGGGACAGAGTCCACAGGAGAACGTCAAACAGGAGCTTCAGTATGTCATGATTGGCGTGGCATCTGCAGGGATGAGCATTCAGGGCTTTCGCTTTGTCAAGCTTAATTAAATGCAGAACAAGAAGGTGTTACATGTATGCGTCTAAGATCTGAAGTGCATGCCCACAGTTATATAACATTGGGCCTTCTAAATACTGTTGCATGTGGCATTGTTTAAAAATCCTTAGGAATAAGACTTACAAAACTGACTCATAATTATGGTCCTGATGGTACCGTGATTACACCATGAGTTTTCCTCACCATTTCCTCTGTGAGTGCTTTCCTACCAAGTTCTGTTCAGCCACGACTGGTTCTGAAGGACATGTTCCTTTGATCTACAGCAAGCTCAGGATGCAGAGTCTGATGCTGACCAGAATCATCAGGAGCTCATGAGATGGTCACTTTGCTCCTACCCTATCCTGGACACTAGTCAGAACACCCAAGCTGGATTTGTTTTAAGGTCCAGAGGTTGCCCCAGATCAACATATTAGTGTTCTCCACTTTGTCCCTATAATTTATTAATAAGTATCCAAAGTTATTTCAATAAAACTACTTCCTTTTAAGAAATTCTGCTTCCCAAGTTCTCTTTCTCCCTCTCCCTACCCCCTTCCTCTTCCTCTTCCTCTTCCTCTTCTCTTCCCCCTCATCCCTCCTTCCAGCTCTTATCTCTCCTCCCTCCTGCTCTTTTTCCCTCCTCCTTCTCTTTTCTTTTCCCTCCTCCTTTTTCTTCCTCCCTCTCCCTCCTTCTCCTTCCCACTCCTTCTCCCTTTCTCTCCTAGATCTGCTTTGTCTTTCCATCTCTAGTTTCTGTGAGCATTTTCCTTCTTTTGACACATCTTACGTGTACTGCTACTGATTTTGTGTTCTTCTGTTGAAAGACTATGGCCAATGTAAAATATTCATCGATATGTTTTTGCACTTTAACATAACAAACCAATATAAATGTTGAAATATATTCTATAAACTTTGATAGTGAGATTATTTATACATTGAACTCAATAAAAAAAGCAGTGAATTCCTTGTGTTATTGTAATTCTTGATGTGGCCCTCCTCCTCATAAAGTGTACCACACTAAAATCTCCTGGGAAATAATTGTTAGAACCCAGTTCCTATCTTCCATAATTCCTTCGATAGTTCATGTACTTCAGCATGCAGGGAGAATGCGTTTTGTTTTGATGTCCCCAGGGTTGCCACTTAGAAATGTGGTGGTGGTGAAGCTTTCCTGTGTGCACTGGTAGGCCGGAGGGAACTCCACACTTGTTTTCAGTTGTGTGGGGCACTGGGGTGTCCTATTTGACATCTTTGTTCTTTCTGTAGAAGAAGGCTATGTAAAAATGTTCCTTCGTGGACGCCCTGTCACCATGTACATGCCCAAAGATCATGTGGATTCATACAATTTGGAAGCAAAAGCAGAACTGCCAACCAAGAGGCTTAAGCTGGAGTGGGTGTATCCTTTATTCGCTGGCCAGGTCTCACACCAGGATGTCAGTGGCAGAATGCTCAAAGTCTTGTAAAATTAGACTCTGCTACTCAACCACATCCATCACTTCCTGAAAATAAATATGAAGATGTTATTGATGGTACACATGAATCTTGTATGTGTGGGGGTGGGGAGAGAAGAGGGAGAGAGTGTACTGGGGCTTGAACTCAGGGCCTTATACTCTTGCTTAGTTTTTTCCATTTAAGGCTGACACTCTACCACTTGAACCACATCTCCACTTGGTTGTTGTTTTTTTTTATGTTTAATTAGAGATTTGAGGCTTGAAGACTTCCCTGCCTGAAGCTGACTTTAAACCAGGATCCTCAGATCTCAGTCTCCTGAGTAGCAAGCATTACAGGTGTGAGCCACAAATACCTACCTTGCATCAACCTGTATTTTGTTTTTGTTTTGTTTTGTGTGTATGAGAGAGAGGGACAGAGGGAGAGACAGACAGACAGACCAGGACTCCAACTCAGCACCTTACACTTTGCTCATTGGCTGCCACTCTACCAGCTGAGCTACGCCTCTAACCATGAATCTTTTTTTGGCGCAAAGAAAATGTATTTACTCATTTAGGACCTGAATGTCAATATAGAATAGTTAGTTTAAAATAGAGAAATAAGCTTAGCAAAAATAACCCAAGGATTTAGGTAAGATTTAAGTTCCAAGAATGAAAGAAGAGCCCCTGACTTTAACAGAACGATCTATCTTGGTATATTGGATAGGAAAGCCAGGAATGCTCATATTTACCAGGAAACAGAAGCAAAAATGCCATAAAATCCTGAGTTTATAAATGGGAAAATGGAAATAACAAAAATCAAAACTAAACCAAGGTAACAACAAGTCTTTAGACTCAAAGAGAGGGAGATACCCTGAAAGAAAGAGTAGAATCCTTTCCTTAAACCAACTAGGCACTTGGTCAGTCTCAGGAGCCCAAGTTCAAGGTCACCACTGAATGGCCGAGAGCTACAGAGAAAGGTAAACACCCAAAGAAATGGCATCAAGTAGATACGGAAGATGAATATGACCTTCCTCTCTAAAAAAGGAAAAAAATTGATAAAAAGCAAGGCACTAAAATCTAAATCTATTATTATAGATGGTGGCTCCAGGGGAAATTTGGAAAAATGAATTTCTAGGGAAAATAGCTGAGAAAAGAATTGGGGGAGGAGGCAATTAAATGGTGAATTTTCTTCCCTCTATTTAATTCATTTATTACTGAACTTTAGAGGGAGGCCTACAGATTCCCCTCCCTGTCTAAACAGATTTTAAGGCAGATAGGAATGATATCACCTTTACCTTTAATCAAACGTTTCTGGAATCCTCTGTGCAGTTTGTTTCAGCCACATGGAGTTCAGCCCTTTCTTAGTCAGTTATGATCTCTTAAGTTGCTATATCAAATCAGGAAAATGTACAAACACTTTTATTTAGCCACCTTGTTTCTTCAGAAGATATAAAACAGTGAAACTTGCTCCAAATATATGGAATCAGGGGCTAGATTGTTTTTTACACCAAAGCTCAAGTGCTCCTTTGCCCTTTAGTTTTCAACATTTAGAAGTACAGATATGCTAAAATTTTAACAAGGTTATGTTTGCGTGTCATTTTTGCTCATTGCCTGTACTCTTTGTGAGTACTTGTATTATGGTAGGGATTTTTTTTTTGTTTGATTTTGGGCAGTACTGGAGTTTGAATTCAAGGTCTCGAGCTGGCTAGGTAGGCAGGCACTTGCTGCTTGAGCTACCCACCCCACCCTGTGGCTTTAGTTATTTTTCGTATAGAGTCTCATATTTTTGCCCAGACTAGCCTCAACCAAGATCCTCCTATTTAGGCCTCCCAGAGAGCTGACATGACAGTTGCCCTCCCCGTGCCTAGTATTATTGGTTGGGATGGGGTCTTGTGAACTGGTCTTGAACTGCAACACTTCAGATCTCTGCCTCCCAGATGGCCGTGATTACGGGTGTCAGCCACCATGTCCGGAAATACTTTTTTAAAGGACATTTTAAAATTAAATGATTTGGTTCCTAGCTTATAATTAAAAGTAATTAAATTATTGATTGACTCAGTAACTCTCTGAAAAGAAAACTAAATCTTTGTATTCAAGCCAGGTATAATGGCACACTCTTATAATCCCAGCACTTAAGGCTAAAGCAGGATGATCATCATGTGTTCAGAGGCTACATAGCAACTACAAGGCCAGCCTCTGCCACATAGCAGGGCACTCTCTCAAAAACAAGCCAAGAGCCAGGGATATAGCTCAACAAGTGTTTACCTAGCATGTGCAAGGCCCTAGATTCCTTCTCTACCAACAACCCCCCCCAAAAAAAAATCTATGTTCATTATCACATCACCATTTCCATCTTGAATGCATGCATAGGGAAGAGGTTTGGGTGGGGGCTTAACTATATTGGGCACTGAGTATTTGCAATTTAACATTATTTAAATCTGTGAAACTGATGGGAATAGTCATAGAGTACTTGATTGCCTATTGAATTAAGCTATTGACTTGTCAGCCCTTCAAGGGAAAGTTTTTGTCTTGACTTACACAAAGCTATGGGTACCGGGGCCGAGACTGTCGTAATAACCTGTACTTGCTCCCTACCGGGGAGACCGTGTACTTCATCGCGTCGGTGGTGGTGCTGTATAATGTGGAGGAACAGCTGCAGAGGCATTATGCAGGCCATAATGACGATGTCAAGTGGTGAGTCCTCAAAACATGGGGTTGCTGCTACACAGGGGAGTGTGGTTAGCCTGGGAGGTCAGCGTGGGACATAAGCCAAGACAAGTGTCCAGGTCTGAGAAAGTCAGGCCTCTGGGCAGAGCTCCTCGTGTTCGCCGTGCTGTGGGCTGGCTCCCTGGCTCACAGACCCCTTTCGTGCTTAGCTTTCTGTCCTGACAAGACTATCTGAACAAAGAGCTCTCACAGACCCCCACATGGAAGCCTTCCTAACAGCACAAACTAAAGGCTTAGAGTTGGGTCTGTATTGGGGTTTTTTGTTCATTTTGTTTTAATGATGCTGGATTTGAATTTGGGACTTTGTATTTCCTAGGTAGGTGCTCTGTCACTTGTATGAATCTGCCAAACCTTTTCGAGTGGGCTATTTTAAAGACAGGGAAGGAAAAACTGGGAGAAAGAACAAGGGAAGAGGTGACACTGTCCAAAAAGAAATGTACTCTTTACCTAACTTTATTCTGTAATCCTTGTATTCTTCATGTTTATAATAAAAAATTTTTTAGCCGGACGCTGGTGGCTCACGCCTGTAATCCTAGCTACTCAGGAGGCTGAGATCTGAGGATGGAGGTTCAAAGCCAGCCCAGGCAGGAAATTCCATGAGACTCTTATCTCCAGTAAACCACTAGAAAACCAGAAGTGGTGCTGTGGCTCAAGTGGTAGAGTGTTAGCCTTGAGCTGAAGAGCACAGGGACAGCGCCCAAGCCCAGAGTTCAAGCGCCCTGACTGACAAATATAATTTTTCTTTTAAAGATAGGGTCTCGCTTTGTATAGTGGCCTGTGAGCCTCCTATTTGTGCTTCCTCATGTCCACTGGGGTGGCAGGTGTCCACAACTGTTCCCAGTCATTGGTCAAGGTGGAGTGTCATGAACTTTTGTGCCTGGGTCTGAACTTGAGCCCACATTCCTGATCTCTGCCTCCCAAGTAGTTAGCATTACAGACTTGAACCACTGCACTGGCTCTGCACTTTAAAAAATAAAATAAAATAATATTTTGCTTCATGTTTATGGCTGAGTCTGCTATGCTCATAATTCATTCATGACCTAACGAAAGATCTTGTCCTGGGTCCCTAGTCAATGATAAAAATCCTTCCTACAGAAGACTTGGTATCTTTATTATTTATCATACTCAAAATGATTTGGTTTTGGTCAATACTGAGATTGAGGGCCTCATGCTTCCCCGTTGGGTACTTTACCCTTGAACCATATCTCCAGTGATGTTTTGCATGTTAATGGGTGTTGATGGTCTTGAACTTAGGACCTGGATTCTGTCCCTTACCCCTCTCCGTCAAAGCTGGCATAGCTCCACTTCTGCATTTTTGCTTTGGAGATAAGTTTCACTGACCTTCCTGCCCAGGCTGTCTCTGAACCACACTCCTCCGCTACTCTTTTTGAGTAGCTAGGATTACGTGTGTGAACTATCAGCACCAAGCTTAGTACTGGTTATTTGTAAGATAGGTTCTTGCTTTCTGAACCAAAACCCACCTATCTGAGGTATCCCACAGTTACTGGGATCACAGGTGTGCACCACTGCGCCCAGCTTCCTTCTACCAAAATAGAATCTCACAGACTTTTCTGCTCAGGCTGTTCTGGAGCCATACTCTTTCCAGTCTCAGCTTCCCACATAGTTTAGGATGATGACTGTACTGCCATGCTCAGCTACAGTTTGAGGGGTCCTTTGGGCTGGCCTAGAATATGAATCCTCTGATTCTCAGCCTCCCAAGTAGCTAGGATTACTGAGCATGAGCCATCAGGATTTGAAGCCCTACTTTGAAATTATTTCCTAATAAAGACTTTACACTAATTAAGTGGTCCTGAGAGTTAAATGCTGTTTTTTCTGGCAGTGGGTGCCTTAGGTTTGGAAATTCTCTGGAAGAGATAAGAGAATTGAGATGAAATGAAATGACATTCATTGCCTAAGGATATTTGGTGTTTAATGAATCTGCTTCAGTGAGACTATAAACAGCTAGGCATTCTGAGTTTCTTACATTTCCATTTTTAACTAGATTATAGTTTACAGCATAGATGCCTTATAATGTCCTTTTCTCAGCCTGGCAGTTCACCCTGACAGGATTACTATAGCAACAGGACAAGTCGCAGGCACATCTAAGGATGGAAAGGTGAGTTGCATATTTTTCCTATTTTTATAAGGAGCTAGCAACAGAACAGTTCCCTGGAAACATGTTGCTAACCAGTCAGCCCGCTTAGGTGCCATTACAGCATCTGGAAACTTCTCACTAGGAGTTCTCAGCAACCTTACAGAGCCTTTGAGCTCACCGCAATTCCAGTACATTTTAAAAGAGCATTGTTGTCTCTTCATAATTCACTAGTTCTTAAAATATCCACATATTTTAAGCATTAAAACATAAAGGCTCTATTAAATGTGTAGAATTTAAAAAATCATGATAATACTGGGCACCAGTAGCTCACGCCTATAATACTAGCTACTCAGGAGGCTGAGATCTGAGGATGGTGGTTCAAAGCCAGCCCAGACAGAAAAGTCCAAGGCACTCTTATCTCCAAAAAACTACATGCAAAAAATCTGGAAATGAAATTCTGGCTTGATTGATAGAGCTCTATCCTTAAGCAAAACGAGCTCAGGGACAGTGCCCAGGCCCTGAGTTCGAGCCCCAGAGATTGGCACACACATATAAAGATAATCACTTGCGACCGGTGCTCCCTCAGTTGTGAATGCCCTGTGGTCATGGCGTAGTCTGTGGGGTTTGTGCCCGTGGGCTAAACTCAAAAGCTCTCTAAGGTTTCCACACAGATTTTGTAAGTATTTCATCAAGGCTTGAAATATATTTTTTAAACAATGGCAAGATTTTATGGAATCTAACAAATAGAGAACAACTCAAAACTGGCTTCAAGTTCCTTATATATTACAGTCTTGTGGTTGCCATGGCTTGTTTGTTGTTGTTTTTCTTTTTCCCAGGACCAGGGTTTGAACTCAGGGTCTTGCACTTGCTTAGCTTGTTTGCTTAGTTGGTATTTTACCACTTGAACCATGGTTTCAGTCCAACATTTTGCTGGTTATTGTTACATACGGCTCCTCACAGACTTCTGCCTAGGCTGGTTCAAACTGTAATTCTCAGATCTCAGCCTCTTGAGTAGCTAAAATTACAGGCATAAGCCTTCAGCACCTGACTGATGTCAATTTTTTTATACCTTGTTATTATGTGATGTATTACATGAGACTAATCACAATAAGTATGTTAATTTTTATCAACATATTTTCTCCTAGAAAACATAAATGCTACCTATTTAAGAAAATGCTTTAATAACATTGAATTTTGAATACTAACCTTATGCTACTTTTCATTAAAATTCTACACTTGAAAAGAACACAAGTAATGGAAATCAGACTACTGTTATGTAAATTTGCATAAATGGAACAGATGTTCAATTTTTTTTTAATGTTACACAGCCTTGAAAAGTTCTTTAAAATTAGTATAGTACACCATTTGTTCTGACCTCTAGTGGCTTAAAAGTGTGTTTCAGCTTCTGACATTGAATTTGAATCAGAACTTTAGAACTAGAAAGAATGTTGTAACTATCTGAGCTAATCCCTTCAACTTAACCATGGAGAAAGCCTGTGGCCAAGTGAGAGTGTGGACACCCAGCTACTTGGAAACAAGGCCTAACTAGATCACCCTTGGTAATGCCTGCATGGCCTTGTGTCTTGGTATTGTTTCATGGCAGCGAATCTGCAATTGCTCAGATTTGTTTGTTTGATTGTTTGATTCGACTTAATTGTTTGTTTGGCTGATTGTCTTACTGGGACTTGAATTCAGGGGTCCCACACTCACTCAGCGTGTTTGTTCAGCTAGTGCTCTACCATTTGAGATATGCCTCCATCACAGCAGTCTGCTGGTTAATTAGCGATGGAGTCTTGAATAGTTTCTGCCCAAGTTGGCTTTGAGCCGCATTCTTCCAGGCCTCAAGCTCCTGAGTAGCTAGGATTACAAGTGTGAGCCACCAGTGCCCCACCTCCTTATATGTATTGTTAATTTTAGCACTTCTGAAATTCAGCTACCTGGAGATGTACAAATAGTGTCAGTTATTCTGGTGCAGTCAGAGATGGGTTAGTCAAAATTTATAACTTGATAGAGCTGTCCTAATGGCTCAACTGGCCACAGGACCCAGGGCCTCCCGAAGGCACTGAAAATGGTTTATTTACATTCAGAAACACACTTCTCAAATGTGAAGAAGAAACCTTTTGTTTTGAAGTTGTGTGTCCAAGTAATCTTGCAGCTTCAAGGTAAAAATCGATTTGCCACAACTGATGACTATGTTTTTTGAACCAGCAATTACCCCCACACGTCCGCATCTGGGATTCAGTGACGCTGAACACTCTGCATGTCATCGGAATAGGCTTTTTTGATCGAGCTGTCACCTGCATTGCATTCTCCAAGTCCGTAAGTGTCAGCCGGAAGGGTGGGCACAGAGAGGAGACAGTCCTCTCAAGGTTGAGGGACTGTAGACTGTACCTCAGAGGGACCTCTGAAGTTCAAGCCCCTGCCCAGGAACCCTCATCAGGGACACACACTTCCCACCAAACCTTTGCAGCTTCTGAGCTTGAAGAGAAAAAAGCCCCCACCCAGGAGACTGGCTTTCCCTTTCCTTACAGCAGCTCACCTGCTCTGCCTTTGAACTTTACCCCTTCCCAAGGCAGCTCCACTGTGGCCTTGCCATCCTGATCAGGCCGCTGGTTGTGTGTCCACAAGCAGGGGTTGAAGTGGTCTTCCAGCCTTCCTTAGGATGTGCACAGATTCCATTGCTCCATCAGTTCAGAGACGCAGTCACACGCCTCACACGATCCCATTCCCATGGGCATGACACTCACACTACATGTTACATAATTCATGCCCCCTGGCTTCACACCAATGACCATCCTGCAGGAGCTCTGTCCTCTCCTGACAGCAGACCCTGGCGGTGCCTGTTGCAGGTACTGTCTCCTCTGGAAGGAGGGGTGTGAGCCCTCTTGGGGTAGTGAAAAGCTGCCCTTTGACCCCTCTCACTCCCACCCTGGTTTCTCATTGTCCCACACTCACCTGATCTCTGGTCAAGGAAGCTGGTCTCCAAAATAGTCTAACTAAAGTTGAGGGCCTCTGTTAAAAGTAAAGTTGATATTTGTGTTTCATCCTGCCCATCCAGTTTTATTCTCAAATGTAGTCTTCTGTGAATTACTGTTTCTCCCTAGAACGGAGGAAGCAGTCTCTGTGCTGTGGATGACTCCAATGAACACGTGCTGTCTGTGTGGGACTGGCAGAGAGAAGAAAGACTGGCCGATGTGAAGGTCTTGCTCAAGCTTTCTGTTGGGCTACTTCCCCTAGAGTCTGTAGCCTCCTCCCCACATGTGCCAGGATCTCCCAGCCTGGAGATTGTCCCAACTTGGACAATGACCACTGCCCTTCTTATAGGATCCCATACCCAAACACCTGTCCTTTTCTTCTTTCCTACTACCCTTGAATTCATTTGATCATTTATTTGTTCAATCTCTCTCCCTCCCTCTTTTTGTTCCTCCCTCTTTCTGTTCCTCCCTCCCTCTCTAACTGGGGCTCGAACTCAGGGCCTTGCATTTTCTCTTGTCTTTACTTTTCTGCCCCAATTGAACCTTGATCCACGGATCTCAGCCTCCTGAGTAGCTAGGATTCCAGGCATGAGCCACCAATGCCCAACTTATTTACTTTTTCTTTCAGTCATTCAACAAAGCCAAGTGCTTGGTGTGTGCTGGTGTAGCATGGTGCAGCAAGGCACTAGAGTTGGGCAGTGGGTGAGGTGTACCTCTGCACTGGGAGAGCAGGTAGATACCAGTCCCCTGAGGTCGAAGCTGAACAGGTTCAGGAAGGACTAGTGAGAGCCAGATCCGGAATCACTCCAGGGATTTCTCTGGCAGTGCATGGTCCCTTTCAGCTCTTTCACCACTTCCAATGCACTTACACAAAATGTCACAAAACTTCCTTATGTTGTTCTCCTGTTAAGGTAATCACTGAAAAAAATCATGATTGGATTCCTATTTTTATCAAACTGAGTTCAGATTTTTCATCTTGGCACCCGTCAACCTTAGATAACCTTAGTTCACTAACAGGAATACCTCTAACCTTATCTATCTAACATGAAGGTTGACAACAGATTACCTCTCTTACCTAACGTTGGGGTTGCCAGCAACCTAAGTGTGGAGCTTTCTCTTTGCATGTCTGAGATCAGAGCTGCATTCTAATCAGGCATGCTTCCTATCATGCTGTAGTCCTGCCTTCTGATGTTTCCATTGGGGATTGAAATTGTACTTGCTGCCCTTGCTAGTGGGAAGTCACCAGAGGCAAGTTATTTTCCAAGTTCAAGGACACAGAACTGAATTACTAGGTGGAAGCAACTGTCAGAATGAAATTCAGCAGAGCGGGGTGCAGGACATGGGTCGGGAGATGCTGAAGTGCTGAAGAGCCAGCTCCAGCACTCTGGATCCTGGGACTGGGACCCTGAGACACAAATAGTAGGGACTCCTATGGAGACAGAGCAGCCAGTAAGCTGGGAACGAAGGAACTGTAAAAATCCAGACTCCTGGTGATTCCAGGCACCAGATGCAGAAGAGGCCTGGAGAGCCACACATGCTAGGTGACCCCATCACTCAGCCAGGCGAAGCATCCAGTGTGGTGTTCTGAAGTGCCCGCTGCTCCTGGGCTGATGTGTTCTGTGATTGTGGCCTCAAGTTCATAGCCAATGAGGCAGACAGACACTAGGAAAAGCTGAGAGTCAGCTAGCTTAACTTACTACAAGATGAAATCAATGGGGGAAAAATGAAGATGTCTAGACTTAGCTTGAATGAACCTATTTATTTGTGATCCTGATTTTATTTCTTTTTAATATATGCATCTTAAAGAGATTTAAAGCCTTTGGTTCTTTTTCTTCTTAAAGTGTTCCAATGAAGCGGTGTTTGCTGCAGATTTCCATCCCACAGACACCAATATCATAGTTACCTGTGGAAAGTCACATCTCTACTTTTGGACACTAGAAGGAAACTCCCTTATTAAGAAGCAAGGATTATTTGAGGTAAACACAGGCTTCCTGCATGAAACATGCAATCAGCTAGGTTTTAAGGGAGCATCAATCCATCTTAACATTCTTTTTCATGGCCAGTGTGGAGTCAGATGTGAAGGTGCAGTGATAAAGATCATCCACTAGGACCTCTCAGCAACTGAAAAGCCCTATGTGTCTCTGGATCTCACTGTGAAAATGGATGGCTCAGGCCAGGGAAAGGATGCAGCCCAGGGGAACAGAGCCTCCCCCATAGGGCTGGTGACTGACTGACTGGAGTGCAGAGAAGGCAGGTGTTTGCTGCAGAGATCAGAGACACTCTGCTTGGGTCTGGCCATTTGAGGGCCTCATGAGATTACTAGGGGCTTCTTCCGATGGGCTAGTTGAGAGGTCCCTCCCTTCTTCCAGTTTGGGAGAGCTCTTTATTCTGCAGTCATGACAGAGTACTCCATCTCTGATCTCCTCCAACACCCCCATCTCCCTTTAAACTGTCTACAACTTTAAGATTCCTCAGCCATTTGGAGTTACCAAAAATTTCTCTCTCTTAGAGCAGTTAAGCGCATCCTCTATATTATGTAATAGTATATAAAAAAATGAAAGGCCTATAGTGGCTAAGAAGCTGACATGATCTAGATAGAGTTACTTACTTCGGTTCTAGCTTTTATTAATGTCTAGATTATATTTACATGTTTAATCACTACATTCTACAGAAACAAGAAAAGCCAAAGTTCGTCCTGTGTGTGACATTTTCTGAAAATGGTGACACCATTACTGGAGATTCCAGTGGCAACATCTTAGTTTGGGGAAAAGGTAACAAGTAATTTTCCTAAAGCTGATTTTTTTTGCTTATGTTTTAGGTCAGACATCAAAGATTATTTCTATAAAAATTGTCAATATAATATACATGATTACTGTTAAGTGTGTGTGTGTGTGTGTGTGTGTGTGTGTGTGTGTGTGTGTGGTTTTCATGAAACTGGAAAAGAAGGAAACTAGGAAATCAACTTTGAATATATCATCCTAAAATGCTCTTTAAAAGATACTATGAGTTGGGGTCTGGTGCTTCACACCTGTAATCCTAGCTACAGGAAGCTGACATCTGAAGATGGTGGTTCAAAGCCAGCCCAGGCAGGAAAGTCTGTGAGACTCTTACTTCCAATTAAATCACAGAAAAAGTGCTGGAAGTGGCACTGTAGCTGGAGTGGTAGAGTGCTAGCCTTGAGCAAAAAGAGATTAAGAGCAGTGCCCAGGCCCAGAGTTCAAGCCTCAGGACCAGAAAAAAAAATTACAATGGAATCAATAACTCTATTAGGAGAGCTATTAACAAATATAATGATGAAATAACCCATGCACATTTAGCTATAGATTACTTAGGTAATCTTTCTGATCCACATAGCATTTGGCAGACAGTCATAGAGGGCCGCAAATAGAGCCAGTGACTCAGATCCGGATCCTTGCTGTGGGTGGCCACAGCATGGGAAGGAGTCGTCACTTGCGGTATGTGTGTTCAGTCCCATCTAGTGTGCACTCCTGTGTGCTTTCTAACTTAGGAAGTTATATCCTCGCTGTCCTCAAGGATCTTTGAGTTGAATCTGGGATGACAATGGAGACAAACCCACAGATGTAATTTCAGAATAGCAAGGTGACTTTGTTGGAGACCCACTGCCCCTGGTGCTTTCTCCAGTTTGTTTAATCCTTAGAACAGTCCTGTGGGATCAACAGTAGCCCTATCCACTTTATCTAAGGACACAGCTTGTGGGGTGTAGGGTGCCCCTGTGAAAACTGAGTCCATGTTCTCAGCCATGTTGAGCTCCCAGCATACCTTGCTTTGTGTTGGTCTCCTCAGTGAGACAGTAATCAAACCTGAGTCCTTCACAGGCTCCTATTAAGATGACATTCTAACTGACCATGTCACCTTTAAAACAAAAATGCAAAGAGATTTAAAAGAGGATAGAGGGGAACCTTTTGATGTGCCAATCATGGTTTTCTCACTGTGTTCAGGTACAAATCGAATAAGCTACGCTGTCCAAGGGGCCCACGATGGGGGCATCTTTGCACTTTGTATGTTAAGGGATGGCACACTGGTGTCGGGAGGAGGGAAGGACCGGAAGCTCATTTCTTGGAATGGAAACTATCAAAAACTTCATAAAACCGAGGTAAGTTGCAGGCACACTGCTACAGAATTTCTTTTTGAACCTTCCACTCTTATCCTAAGCAGTCTCCTTATGGGTTTGGAATCTTTAGTTTATAGGTTTTTTTGGGGGGGGCAGGGCGGTTAGTCATGGGGCTTGAACTCTGGGCTTGGGCGCTGTCCCTGCACTCTTCAGCTCAAGGCAAGCGCTCTATCGCTTGAGCCACAGCGCCATTTCTGGTTTTCTAGTGATTTATTGAAGGAAGATCAAAGTCTCATGGACTTTCCTGCCTGGGCTGGCTTTGAACCGCGATCCTCAGATCTCAACCGAATGAATAGCTAGAATTACAGGCGTGAGCCACTGGCACCCAGCTAGTTTATAGTTTTGAAAATTGTTCACATGGAATCATGTGAGGACTGCCTTAAAATCTTTATTAAAATCATAGAAATAATTTAAGTTCTAGGTAAAATGAAATTATGAAGCTTTGAGGATATAAAATCCTTTACATAGAGAATTTTTTGTCTAACAAGTCCATTTTGCTTTATTTACTTCCTGTATCTTAGTGATTACACTTCATAAATACATACCCCATTGTTTTGCTGTACCATGATTTAGATCATTTTAAACTACTGGCTTGTTATATTGTTAAGGACCAAAGGCTTGTTTTTGTAAGTAAAGTAGCAATTTTGGTATTTTTTAAATTAACTATCATGTTTATTTATTCAGTCTTACATGGTATTATTAAGAAAAGATGTTGGGGCTGGGAAGGTGGCTCAGTGGTAGAGCGCTTGCCTTGCATGCATGAGGCTCTGGGTTCGATTCCTCAGCACCACATAAACAGAAAAAAGCCAGAAGTGGCACTGTGGCTCAAGTGGTAGAGCTCTAGCCTTGAGCTGAAGAGCTGAGGGACAGTGCCCAGGCCCAGAGTTCAGGCCCCACGACCGGACCCAAAAAAAAGAAAAAAAAAGATGTTATAGACCTGAATGGTTGACAGAATTAAACATTCTTTTGCATAAATGAATTATGATATTTATATTTCTAAGCTGCATATATTCATTATAAATTTTTTTGAGCCAGTACCAGGACTTGAACTGGAGCTTGCTTATAGCTGGCATTTTATCACTTGAGTTGTACCTCCAGTCTGGTATTTTACTAGTTTATTGGAGAATGGATCTTGAGACATTTCTGCTGAGGCTGGCCTGAAACACAGTCCTCCAGCTCTCAGCCCCCTGAGTAGCTAAGATTGCAGATGTGAACCACCAGCAGCCATCTTAGAATGATCTTATACTAGAGAGCCAGACGCCGGTGGCTCACGCCTGTAATCCTAGCTACTCAGGAGGCTGAGATCTGAGGATCGTGGTTCAAAGCCAGTTTATCTCCAATAAACCACTAAAAAAACAGAAGTGGTGCTGTGGTTCAAGTGGTAGAGCACCGCCTTGAGCTGAAGAGCTGAGGGACAGCGCCCAGGCCCAGAGTTCAAACCCCACAACCAAAAAAAAAAGAATGTTTTTATACTAGAATCAATTTTAATTTTAGCCATATTTAGATTCAGCATTAAACTTTTTTCTTTCTTTTTGCTAATTGCCAGCAGGTTACTTTGCAGATACAGTATTACTTGTTGAACTGTTGTTCCTGGCTCTCTGCTTAGTGTGTGGTTCAGCTGAGGGCCAACAAGTTCTCCACACTCTGGCTACTTGGAGATGCACTTCACCTCCTGGCTTCCTAGTGAGCAGCCCTCCTTGTGTTGGAGCCAGCAGCAAGAAACTTTCTATTTCTCCCCCCCCCCATCTCTGGGCTTTTTCTCCCCATTCCAGAAAATTGTGAACAGATTACAAATTATCCATCTGAAGGGTGATGCTCTTCATCCCTAGCTTAGAATGGACACATTATGTGATTTTTTTTCAGCTTCTAAATTAGATCCAACCAATCTATTTGCACCACAGGGCAATGTGGCAGTGGTATTGATTATCCCCTTTGGTAAAGGAAGGCTTTCATCACAGATTGCAATCATTTCCCCTTTCATGGAGATTTTAATTGTGATAACTTTGATTGACATTTTAGCAAATGTGCTGTGAACTGCTAGTCACAGATATTCCTGTGTGACATTGTAACTGCAAAGGAAGTATCAAGGCCTTGTGATTTCTCAGAGGATGTCACTCACCATGTGACTCATCTTCCCTACATGATAGCCATCATTTTTCTTTTCTTTCCATCTTCTTTTTTTTTTTTTTTTTTTTGTCGGTCGTGGGGCTTGAACTCTGGGCCTGGGCTCTGTCCCTCAGCTCTCCAGCTCAAGGTGAGCGCTCTACCACTTGACCTACAGCGCCACTTCCGGTTTTCTGGTGGTTTATTGGAGATAGGAGTCTCACGGTCTTTCCTGCCCGGGCTGGCTTTGAACCGCGATCCTCAGATCTCAGCCTCCTGAGTAGCTAGGATTACAGGCGTGAGCCACCAGCGCCCGGCTCCATCTTCTTTCCTTTCCTTCTTCCCTTTCTCCTCCTCCCTCCTTTCTTTCTTTCTTTCTTTCTCTCATTCTTCCTTTCTCCCTCTCTCCTTCGTTCCCTTCTTCTTTCCTTCCTTTTTTCCTTCCTTTCTTCCTTCTTTTCTTTCCTTCTTTTCTTTCTTTTTAAGTCAAGATCTCACTACGTAGCCTAAGCTGGCCTCAAATTCACCATCCCCCCGCCTCAGCCTAATAAGTGCTGGGATGATAGTCACGTCCCATCATGTCCAGCTCAGTGATCACCTTTACTCAGTGCTAAAATACACACAAAATGATAGAGACTGTGTAGGAGCTCAGACCAATGCCAGCCTCCAGTGGTTCTTGTACTGAGAGGACATAATCTCTTCAGCAAATTGTTCTCGACAGGTGCATTTTGAATTTTTCTTTCTTAACAGATTATTCATGTTTATCGACATGAACAGTGGCTTTCAAAAACAAACAGAATGATGTTGCCAATGTCTTACATTCTAAAGTTGGAGGAGATTTTTAGAAATTCTTCTTCTTTTTTTTTTTTTTTGTCCGTCGTGGGGCTTGAACTCTGGGCCTGGGTGCTGTCCCTCAGCTCTTCAGCTCAAGGCTAGTGCTCTACTAAATTCTTATTATTCTTATCCAGATTTTTATCTGCTACAGTATCAGAAGTCCTCCTAGTGGACCAACCAGTCATATTCCTTATATCTCATTTAGCGGAGTTCTTTTTTTAAAAAAAGAAGAAGAAAGGAGATATAAAAAAAAGGATTCCACTTTTGCTGATTCTTTTAAAGATATATAAGACATTTGTAGTTTGAAAAATAGAGCAGAGTGTTTGTCTAATGTGCAAGGGGCCCTGTTCAATCCTCAGCATACATACATACACACACACACACACACACACACACACACACACACACACACACGGGCACAAAAAAGTAAGGTTTGGGTATTTGATCATTGGCTCAGCAGCTAGCTCTGGTATCATAGTTCTATCTTCATCTCCTCATATGTACATATAAAACTGTTACAAGAGCTATCAGTGACACATATACAAGTACTTTAAATGCTTGCTTAATGAAACCTTAAATCTTTCTTTATGACTCTTTCCAATGCAGATTCCTGAGCAGTTCGGCCCAATACGGACAGTGGCTGAGGGGAAAGGTGACATTATCTTGATAGGTACAACTAGAAACTTTGTCCTACAGGGGACCCTGTCAGGAGACTTTGCACCCATCACTCAGGTAGGTCCAGCTTAGCAGGTACCAGGCACCTTCACTTAGTATTAAATGAGGTTATAAGCAAGCACTAGGAGGGATCACTCTGAAGTATCACATTCAGGTGACCCTTCCTCCACTTCTGAGTCATAGTTGCTGCTGTGACTAGGCTGGGGAGAATGAGGACCATGGGGAAGGTGCAGAGCAATGGCCATGTGTCCGTGGTGCTTGACATGACTGCGGGATCTCAGGGAGCTCCCATGTCTTGGTTCTTTGTAGGGTCACACTGATGAGCTCTGGGGACTGGCAATCCATGCCTCCAAACCTCAGTTCTTGACTTGCGGACACGACAAGCACGCCACTCTTTGGGATGCTGTGGGTCACCGGCCTGTCTGGGATAAAATCATAGAGGTGAACATGCATGTTACATTTCCATTTCTCTTGCAAAAATTCTGCTGGAACATGTTCATTTTTTTTTGCATGAAGTTAATAGTGATGTGAAACTATCCCAAAGCAACATGTTGTTCAATTTATGTTTAGAATCGCATTATTCTGAACATTGCCTCAAGTGTTCTCATCCATGTGGTGTTTTGACTGTTCAGTTTTTCAAGAGCAAGTTAGCCTTTCCAAATCAATGGTCCAGGTTCCTGAGTGCAGTCTTAAATGGCTCAAGTGCTAAGGAATTCATGTTAAGAGCCTGCATTCCATTTACAGTGTACCTTAACCAGAATTTACAAGCTGTACTGAAAACATACACAGCAGTTTATCTCAATATTTTGAGGTTGATGGTTTGTCACGCGCCAAACACAGAATGTGTATTGTCCCTGGCAGATTGAAGGGTTTTTGTTGTTGTTGTTCTGATTGTATTCATTACCAGAAGTTAGAGAGCAGCAGAGCCAGTGCTTATGGCCAGGTCAGGTTGAGTCTCAAACCCAGCCAGTGAACAAGCATCCTGCTGCAGGGAGCCAGAAGTGCATCCTCTATGGCCCATACTGATGACAGGCACACTCCACTGGGGGTGGTGCAGAGCCCAGCACCATCCCTCATCTCCTGCAGAGTTGCCAACACATCCCAAGTGCTGGGTCCAAGGTCAGCTCTCAGAAGAGATGCCAGCAGTGAGATGGAGAGGCTGAGGGGACGGTGCGGGGGGGGGTACACTGCAGTGATGGTAGAGGAGAGCGGCCTTCTGCAGTGTCACCCCATGGGTCCTTTGAAAGTTATGACACTTCTTCCAGCTCCCTGGCCCTCAGTAGGCCGCTAACAACTCTGGTTGACGTAAGAGTAGAGCCAGGATTAGAAGCTCGAGCTCCAGCCAGGAAGCCCCCTGGCTCCCAGTTCCTCTGTCCACTGGCCATGGAACCTAGGACAGGAAGGAACACTTCACCTCTCTGGACTTCAGCGTCTTCACCTCACCTAGGTGAACTGTACATAAAAGTGCTTTGTAAACTGTAGCGCTTCAAGTGAAAGTGAACTCTCTGCCATCAGCAGTGGCCCTGAGCTTACTTATAGCTGCACATTAGATGATGAGTCAGGGGCTGAAGTTCCTGCCCGGTCTTGTGGTTCTCATTTACTCATTCATCTAGGGGCCTTCTATTTCCATCCCTGGGCTCTTGGTGATGGCTAATGGCCACGCTTCCAGCCAGATCCAGCATGCCATTTGACAGGCTTACCACCAGAGGCCAGCAAGGGCACTGGGCACCCAACCAGGGCTTAGTGGAAAGAGCCTTTACCCATTTACCTCTCATCCAGTGAGATGAGATGGGAATGGAGAGAAGACAAAGACAAAAAATTCTGAAAATTTTAGTGTTATTAGAGGGTAACATACATCCATGCAGGAAAATATGTTCCTGTATGGGGAAAAAGGAGAGACTGAAAAACAGAGCCATGTTGCCTGAGATGGAACAGCCGTGTGGGTGGGTATTATGCTGTAGTATTGTATCTGGCCCTCAATTTACACTTCCTTTAAAATATTTTAGGATCCAGCTCAGTCTTCTGGTTTTCATCCTTCAGGGTCTGTGGTTGCGGTCGGGACACTGACTGGGAGGTAAGCCCCAGAGCACAGCCTGTGCTTTCACAGAGATGGAGAGGAGCTTGCTGGCCGTTTCCCCAGGGACAGGGATCAGTGCTGGGCTCCATCTGCCCAGCTTCTAATGCCTTATAGGAATTAAGTCAAGTGCCCAGTCTCAAATCCCGCCCCCTGCTGGTTGCTCACTTAGCATTCACAGAGTGTCTGGACCCTTCACACAGGAGGACCCTTACTGCCCTTGAAATGCCCCTGCCCCTCCTCTGGACCTGCCCCCTCCCTGGGCCAGAATTCAGGGACAATTGGGGAGGGGCTCATTCCTAGAACATAGGTGGTTCCCCTGGCTACAGGCTCCCAACACAAGGCAAAAACCACATCACAGTGGCGAGAGCAGGAGAGCCCCGTACCACAGTCAATATGCTGTTCCTTTCTTTAGGACATGCTGATGTATGAGGACTTTTCTTTGAGTAAACCTGAGAATGAGCTTTCTCCTTAGCAAATCCAGAGTATTTATCTAGCTCTTATGACTGTTTTTAAGTCTTACATTATTGTAATAGCCTTCTTTCATTTCCCCACAAAACAGCTTACTTGCTTTTTCTTTTTATCTTGTGTTTACAATAGGTGGTTTGTGTTTGATACAGAAACAAAAGACTTGGTCACTGTCCACACGGATGGGAATGAGCAGCTCTCTGTAATGCGCTACTCACCAGGTTAGAATACAGGCTAGTCCCTACTGCAGTTCCAAGGAATGGTACAGTTCCCTATGGATACCTTTAAAGAAACAGTTTCACAGCCCTCCTTCGAGTGTAACTTAAAATTTTATGTGCATGTAATTGTGATGCCTAGGGACTCTTTTTCTTCTTTTGGGTCACTATGGTTCTGCTGTGGTTTGGGGGCTTTGTCAGAGCTTGAACCCAGAGCCTGGGTGCTATCCCTTAGATTTATTTTTCCCCCCAAGGCTGGGACACTACCACTTGAGCCATACCTCCACTTCCTAGAAAGCATGTTTCAGCTCCTGCTCATGTGAGCAGGGCCCTTAGGGACTGTGTTTCCATTTCTTCTGTTACACTAATGAGTACCCCTGGAGATGAAAGGGCTCTTTCTACCTAGAGCCCTGCTTCCTATGCTTCTGAGCCATAAACCTGGCTGGGTGGGGTAATAGTGGGAGCTTTGGGCTGGGCCAGGCACCCACCTTTGGATTCAGTACTCTCTGCCTTCGTCAGCTGACTTTGTCAAACCACACACAAGTTATTGGGAGGCTCCACTGAAAATGGAGGTGCATGGGAGATTTAGTGTTATCAGCAAGCTCAGCAGTAGAGGCCCAGAAACAACACCTGCCTCAGACCCTTGGGAGTGGCCCAGTCCTCAGTACTGCACTCATGCTAACAGTAGATGTAGGGACTATAGCACATCGCTCTGATGGAAAGTAGTGGCAGTATGAGCTTCAGGGGGCACCCAGCTTCATCTAGACATAGGCTATGTCATCATAGATTCCTGACTTTTCAGAATCACACTTTAGACCCAAGGAAAGAAAAGGTCTTGGATGAAAAATAACTAAAAGCACAAAGAACAAGGGGCATGGGTCATGGTACAAGTGATAAAAAGCCTGCCTAGCAAACTTGAGGCCCTGAGTTCAATCCCCAGTACCTTCCATTGAAAACACATACACACACACACACATACACACACACACACACATACACACACACACACACACATACACACACACACACACACGAAAATGTTGAGTTATGGGGCTGGGAAGGTGGCTCAGTGGTAGAGCACTTGCCTTGCATGCGAGAGGCCCTGGGTTCGATTCCTCAGCACCACATAAGTAAAAAGCCGGAAGTGGCGCTGTGGCTCAAGTGGTAGAGCGCTAGCCTTGAGCTGAAGAGCTGAGGGATAGTGCCTAGGCCCAGAGTTCAGGCCCCACGACTGGACCCAAAAAAAATTTTTAAAAAGAAAATGTTGAGTTACAGAAGCAAGAACTAACTTTCCCAATCTTTCTCCTTTCTGTGAGGGCTAGAGAGGTCAGGTTTCAGTGACCTGCATCTAGCCTGTGACTGAAGGAGCAGGTAGCTAAATTACTGGAACATGCTAGGAAGCAGGCAGCAGGCTCAGTCCCCAGGGCTACAAGACAATTGCCCCCAGTGGGTAGGGACCCCTTGGCACAATCAAGAGCCACAGCCAAGAGGATTTCTATGAACTATATATCTGTCTCAGTCACATCGTACCAACTGTTCTTATTCATGAAGTATTTTGTAGAAGATGGTCTTATAGTAGCTAATTAATAATTACTATCATGTGAGTATTTGTGAACCCATAGTCAACTCCTGATCATTAGCAATATGAGCCCCTCATAAGTTCCTTACATATAGAAGTACAGTCACAGTGATACTCACACTTTTTTTATTGTCGGTCATTGGGCTTGAACTCTGGGCCTGGGCACTGTCCCTCAGCTCTTCAGCTCAAGGCTAGTGCTCTACCACTTGAGCACAGCGCCACTTCTGGTTTTCTGGTAGTTTATTGGAGATAAGAGTCTCATGGACTTTCCTGCCCGGGCTGGCTTTGAACCGTGATCCTCAGATCTCAGCCTCCTGAGTAGCTAGGATGACAGGTGTGAGCCACCAGGCCCAGCTACTCACCCTTTTTTTAACGGTGGTACTAGGGTTTGAAATCAGGGCCTTGTGCTTCCTAAGCAGATGATCTGCCACTTGAACTATCGCCCCAACTTTCGGGGGGAGGGGGACTTTTACTATTTTTCTGGCGGGGTTTTTGATTTTTCTTCCCCAGCCTCAGACTGTGATCCTCCTGTCCACATCTCCCATGTATCTGGTAGCAGGCATATGCCACCATGGCCAGCTTGCTTGTTGTGAAGGGGGTCTTGCTCTTTTTCCAGGCCAGTCTGGAACTGTGATCCTCCCAATCTCATTTCTCCCATCTAGCTGTAATGACAGGCGCATTCCTCACCCACTTAGTAGAGATGGGGTCTTGAAAATGTCTTGCCCAGGCTAGCCTTAAACTGTGACCCTCACAGTCTCTACCTCCTGAGTAGCTAAGGTGACAGGTGGGAGCCAGTGGCATTCACTAAAAATAGATTTTTAAAGTGAGGGATTATGCTATGACGTGGATTTTTTTCTTACATAACGTTTTGCCTCAAAAATACTGAATGGCTCCTTTATGAAAAGGCCTCATTACTTTAAGGTGGAGAGGTTCTCTGAGACCACTTTGCCAGGGAGAGCACAGCCCACCCCTAACACCCCACCAGACAGGCTTTCAGCAGTTTTGCTCCCCGGGCTGTGTTAGGGGTCATGGAACTGAGTGACAAACTGCTCAGACCCCAATTCCAGTGCCAAGGCTGGCAACCTGGGTGGCCCTGGGCTCCTAAAGGATGGAGTTAGTAACCTCTACCTCAGAAGGTTGACAGGAGTACTAAAGAAGCTAACACAGGAGGAGCTGGAGCAGTACCGAGTGCCTGGTGACAGTGTGGAAACTAAGTGCTGTCGCTTAGGTGTGATGGTTAGCAGGAGGGCTTCCCGGGTGGGGTGGGGGATACTGGAATACTGCCCACATCATCTGTCACTGGCCTCTGGAGCTTTGCATCCTCCTGTTTACATTGTCTTCAGAACTCCTGATTTGACTCCTCATTTGGGCCAACACCCCCAGGTGACCTGGTCTAAGCCAACGTTTCCTGCCCGCTCCAGGCACGCATCTCCTGTAGGATTCCACCTGTGGGGGAAAAACAACCTACTGAGTATGCCAGTAGTACTTGTGCGAGGGAGTTTATAGGTAGGGGTGCAGTGGATCCTCTCCATGGGACTGGCACTCAGTGAGAGTGGGGACTCACCCACAGCCCCAGGTGAGGTGCAGAGACCGCTGCTCCTGCCATGTTCCTGCCTCCACACGGCTTCGGCTGTCAGTTATCACTCCTGGTGTTTTCTCCTTTGTCCTTCCTTCTGCGCCCTTCCTCCCATCATGCTGGCATCCTGGACTGGTCTCCAGGCCCTGTTCCCTTCCCTAGAGATGAGCTTGGTTGTAATTGGCCAGCCGTAGGCAGACTGTGCTTTTCTCATGAGCTCTGCACCCCCCCATTTCATCAGCCACATCCTGAAACCTGTTTTTTGTTTTGTTGTTGTTATTTTATACTGGTTCTTGAGGCAAAGCTTCTGGTTTTTTAGTGGTTAATTGGTGATCAGAGTTTCATGGACTTTCCTGCCTAGGCTGGCTTTGAATCACCATCTTCAGATCTCAGCCTCCTGAGTAGTTAGGATTATAGGTATGAGCTATGGCACCCAGATCTTTGTTTCTTTCTTTGGCTGTGATGTGTCAACATTTTGTGGGTTTTTTTAATTTTTAAATTAGCTTTAAGTAGTTGTATAAAGGGGTTTCAATTTAATAGGTCAGTTTATTAGTACAACACATCCTAATCCATGCTACCTCTTCTATCATCCTCCCTTGTTCAAGAGAGCTTCAGGAATGGTATAAAACTCATTTGAAAGCAGTTTTTGGTCTTTGAAAGAATTCCTTCATCAACCTATTTTGTCTAAATCTGTGGTAGCAGCTTGCATTTAGCCTTGTGATCAATGAAATGCCTATTTTTTAACATTTGAATATCTGCCCTGTTTCTACAGATGGGAATTTCTTAGCCATAGGCTCCCACGACAACTGCATCTATATCTATGGTGTTGGCGACAACGGGAGGAAATACACTCGGGTTGGCAAATGCTCTGTACGTTTTCCATGTTTCATTATGTCAGAGAAGTGACGTCGGGAATTTAGGAGGCAAGTGAAAGTCACACGGGGTTTTTCTTTCTCAGGGTCATTCCAGCTTCATCACCCACCTGGACTGGTCTGTGAACTCCCAGTTCCTTGTGTCGAATTCCGGGGACTATGAAATCCTTTACTGTAAGTAACAGCCCACCCACATCAGCCCAGATCGCACGGGACGTGCACTCTGAGACTTGGATGGACCTCTGGAGGGCTCGAGCACAGGGGTCAGCTCTGGCCTGTGTTTCTTCCTCTTACCTCCTGGGGCCAAGATACCAGGTTCCGGCCGCCTATGGGCTCCAGAGAGAAGGACAGGGATCTACCTAGAGAAGGAAGCCCTGGGAGAGAAGCTGGGGGGGGAGGCGGGGGAGAAGATTCTGGTCAGGTATGAGACAGGGGTGATATCTGGCCCTGGCCTAGCAAGAATAGCCCCATGAAGGAACCACCTGGAGAAGGCAGAACCCATGAAGTACCCCCCTCTCTGAAGGGACCCCCTTCCTTCTCCTGGGCCAGTCTCTCTGCCCCAGTGGGGCCTTGACACCCTCTGTGTGAAACAGAGGGAAACCACTGGGCACAAGAAAGTCCTGCGTTCCACCCGCTGGAAGTTACTAGAGTGCAGTTTCCAGTTCCGGTCCCCTTTTACAAATAAGGCAATGGGGTGAGATAGGGCAGGGGCTGAGAGCTACTCTTCCCTAGGCATGAGGAAGCAGCATGTACCAGGACAGAGTCTCAGGGGAGGAGGGACTCCCTGGTCTCCCTCTCCTCCCTCTCCAGGTCCTGCCTGACGCAGCACAGAAGCAGGCTGATGGTTTTCAGATTTGGTGTTGGGCCTCATCCTGTATGAGGGAAATGAGCAGGTTCCCCAGGAGGCCTGGGCAGTTGTGCCACTGGTTTCCACATGTTTCCATTCCTGACTGAGCTGAAGGAGCTGAGGGCTCTTCAGGCAGAACAGCCTGCGCCCGGAGGCAGGGCAGGGCTCAGGCCCTGGGTAAGCATACCAAACAGTACCGGCCAGGCCTAGGAACCAGATCTGTCATAGACGAGAAAAGCCAGACTGTGGGGAACAGACCCAAGAGAAGAGAAGGGAAGAAAACAAGCAAGAGGCCTCTGCTGAGACCAGGACTTGGACTTCATTCTGGGGGATACTAGCAGCTAAACCCATGGAAGGACAGGGGGTCCCTCCCCACATTGGTCATGGCTTGGGACCCAGCCTGGCCCAGGAGAGAGCTGGGGTCTTGGCTGAGATGTCACCAGGCTATCTGCTCTTTCCAGGGGTTCCCTCTGCTTGTAAGCAAGTCGTGAGCGTGGAGACCACGAGAGACATCGAGTGGGCCACCTACACCTGTACTTTGGGATTCCACGTGTTTGGTATGTCTTCTGTAGGTCTCACAGGTTAGAACAGAATTACCTACTTAGTGAGCATTATCATCACCACTCCTCAAACCACTCTGCCCTGCCTATATTCAAAGATGTATTCCTGAGCTAGGGCCAGGTAGGTCAAGCCGTGGCCAGTTGAGAACTGGAGAAGTGGCCTTAACCTTTCTAATTTTCTAGAACTTTCTACATCAGGTTGTGCCAGACATTTCTGGCTGGACGATAGGCATTCCATTAATTTATGACTTGTCAGGGTTATTTTACTTTGAAATTCTTAAAATATTTCATTCCCTTTAAAATTCACAATCACCCTATGTTCTAGCAATATCACTTTGGGGCATGTATCTGATGGAATGTAAGTCAGGATCAAGAGGCACTTGTACACCCACGTACACTGAATTACTATTCACCATTGCCACAGCTCAGATGCCCTACCACTGATGAGTGGATCCAGATAGTGTAGTATAGATAGATAGGTAGGTAGATAGATAGATAGATAGGCAGGCATACAATGGAATATAATTCAGCCATAAGGAAAACTAAAAGCATGTCACCTTCAGGAAAATGGATAGATCTGGAAATACCATATAGGTGAAGTAAGCCAGGTTCAGAAGGACAAATATCACACATTTTGTTATATGTGGATGCTAGATCTAAGACATAAATGTATACAGAAACACACATATGATATATATATATATATGAACAATTTGACTAAATTATGTAAGTTACCATTGCACGTATAAATTACTGTTGTGAAACCCCTTTGAACAATTAATATGCACTTTAACAAAAAATGCATATTAGCAAGGTGAAATATGTCTTGTCTGGTGTATGTGCCAATGGGAAGAGATGAATGAGAGGGGGAAGACGGCAAATATAGTCATAATCCTTGACGACATACATGTGTGAAAATGGCACAAAGAAACTTGCAGAGACTGTTTGGGGAAGTAGTGGAGGGAAAAGGGAGAATGGCAGGGGCAACTGATTGAAATGTACTTTATAAATTAATTGACATGTTAAAATGAAATCCCCTTGTACAACTGATTAATGCTAATATTTCTTTAAATTTGGCTTGGGAATAGATTCATAAGCAGCCTGAGACAAATTGCCACAGTCTAGGAGAAAAGGAAAAGGCAGAATTTGTAATCACTTTATGACCTACCACAAGTGAGTGGGTTGGGACAAATTCACCAGTCTCCGTGCTGGCTTTTTATCACTGTTGGGTATCAAATGCTAAGACCGCCTAGGCTCTTTTCAGACCCGTCAGGCAAGAAACTCGTGTACTGCCGTGTTTCTCATATCCAAGTCAGGGCTTCTGGAGGGCAGCCAGGATGAGCTGGACAGGGAGCCATGAGAGTTTGGTTGCTGCAGCCCAGGGCTCTCCTGGCCTTGATTCTGAAGCCTGAACAGCAGGAAGCTTTCTTTTTCTGCCCCCATGCTCTGCGGCCCTGTGTGCCTGAGATTTCCCGCCCTGGCTGTGCTCTGTTTTAGGAGTTTGGCCCGAAGGCTCTGATGGAACTGACATCAATGCTGTCTGTCGGGCCCATGAGAAAAAACTGCTGTCGACAGGAGATGACTTTGGCAAAGTGCACCTCTTCTCCTACCCCTGTTCACAGTTCCGGGTAAAGACCCCATCTTCTCACTAATCCCATCCCTCACCTAGCACACACTTATGGTCTGACCTTCTTGCAAAATAAAATGGAATGGGCTGAGCATGAAAGCTGCCATGTGTAAATGCCCAAATGACCCTACCAACCACTGCTCTGACGCTTCCCAGGCTGCCCGCTGCCCTGGGAAAACCTTTGAAACCCTTGGCATCTGGCACCCCTGCCTTGGCAGCTTCAAAGCCTTCTCCCCTATCTTCACCCCCAACCCTGGCTCCCTCTGCTCTAGCCCTGCTGGGCTGAGCCCACCCTGATACTTACCCCATCCTTCCTGAACCGCCCTGATCTGACCCTCCTTCAGCCAGCAGACCCTCACCTCAGCCCCAGCAGCTGGCCAGTCGTGCCCTTGGGCCGACCCTGGGCCTAGCACAGCCTTCTGGTATTGAATGTACCCTGGCCAAGAGCTGTGATTTGCTTGTGTTGGTTCTTCCTGTGTCCTGCACACAGAACAAGTACACAGGTGCCAGCTGCTAAGTGACAGGAAGGATGCTGATCTAGAATCTGATCACATTCTGCTTTGAGTGTGCTTTATATAAGCTGTCCTCTGCATCATATTCTTCCAGGCTCCAAGCCACGTCTATGGAGGACACAGTAGCCACGTCACCAACGTTGACTTCCTCTGTGAAGACAGCCACCTCATCTCCACGGGCGGGAAAGACACAAGCATCATGCAGTGGCGGGTCATTTAGTCCCTACCAGAGCCCTGGGAGCAGATCCTGCCTGAGAAGACACAGACTCACGTTCCGCTTGGTCACTGTGATTTCTGTTTTGTCTAAAAATTCTTACAAACCTCAGGAAAATTATCCCTCTGCCAGTTACCTTAGCTTAGGGGGCGAATGAGTGTCACGCCGGAGAAGTTGTTCCGTTTCCACTTTGGTTGTATAGTATGTGTATGCATAGATATAGGAAGCGTCCCAAGGTGCCCATGCAGTGGAATCGACAGAAGGGACTGGTGTATCCTTAGCAACTTTTCTATGAACTCTTCAAAACTGGTCACAGAATGCCTTTTCCAATATTGTATATAGTCTTCACTGTCTACCACCAAGCTGGTTAAATCATATATTTATGATAATAATAAGGTACTAGACCCTGATTGCTGTTGACTAATTGGTCCCAAAAGGATAAATCCCTTGAGAAGACATGGAATAACTGATTTGCACAGCTGAATCAGGAACTCAAAGGATGAAACTTTCTTTGGTTATATTTTCTAAGTTTTCATATGAAATTCTCCCTTTGGGAGGCTGGCAAGAAATGGGTTGTATACTTCTGGTGTTAGCAGACTCCAGGTTAAGAACTCTCACAGAGGGTGTGCAGGCCCTTCTATGTTCCCAGCAGACTGTCCTGCACCTCCATGAATTGTAACCCCTCTGTCCCTGGTCACATGCCCCGATTCCTGTCTGGATCATTAGCCACCTTCCTGTGTATATTAATGGCATGATATGGTTATTGTTCTCTGTATAGGATGTTAGCAACTCAGTACATACCTATGGCTAGGCGTCACTGTTTAGGCTATGGACATTGTACGTTTGTACTTGACGACCAAGTAGACCAAGTGGAGAAGCAATCTGTCCAGTGTCTGAGCAGCCTGCAGAGGGAGACGTCTCAGGAGGCCCCGGGAACAGAGGGCCCCCGGGAACAGTGCATAGATGGCTCTCAGCAGTATGGAAGAAGACTATTCTGATAACTAGGACATAAGTGGTATAAATTCATCAACAAGGCCTTACCCATGTGTGACAGGTTGAATATTGTTTACATTGGGGAATGTATCTTGGATTTTTAAATAGAAGAGTAATTATCAGACTTGAGAACAAATATTAAGATTTTTGACTCCTTCTAGGTAAGTAAATGATTGAATTACCTGAATACTCCAGCACTGGTTGAGTGTGACATCCGGAAACACCTCACCAACGCACAGGGCACCAGGAAACAACTGAACTAAAGAGGAACCTGTTTGTATGTATCCTTATCAAATATATTCTATAATGAAATAAACTCTCAAAGGTGGATTTCTTACTGACCTGTATCCTTGAAAGTATATAAATTAAAAGCTTTGGAATGGGATATGATTCACACTATATTGTTTTATATCCAGATTGTTTTCTTACCTGGGTCCTTTGCAGTGAAACCATGTATTTTGATATGGTGTGAACAACTGTAAAGAATTTGCCTTAATTCCCACACCTAGTTGTTAGTATGTAAATACTACCAAATAATCATTTTGTTTGTGTTTGTTTTTTGAGACAACGTAGCCCAGGCTGACCTGGAACTCTCTATCCTCCTGCCTCCCCTCCTGAGGTCTGGGATTGCAAAAATAATCATCTGTAAATTAATAACTGAAGGAACAGTTTGATAATGAGAAGGGAAATGGATCTACTGTTGACTTGTATGTCAAAAAGAAAGATAATAGATGTTCACACACTAATATACACATGTATAATATGCTATTATATATAGTTTTTATTACTATGAAGATGGAAATAGCAGTTTGTACCTCCTAGATGTCTGTGAAAACAGACTTTTTTTTATTGAGGGGGGTAGTTGGTCCTGGGGCCAACTCATGGCCTGGGTGCTGTCCTTTAGCTTTTTTGCTCAAGGCTATCACTACCATTTGAGCTACACTCCACTTCTGGCTTTTTCCTGATTAATTGGAGATGAGTCTCAGACTTTCGTGCTTGGACTGGCTTTGAACTGTGATCCTCAGATCTCAGCCTCCTGAATAGCTAGGATTATAGGCATAAGCCACTGGCACCTGGTAACAGTACTGTTTTTGAAATGGTCCACGGTTAACCTTACGCAAAGCTTTTGTTTGCTTAATTACTCAATAGCATGGCAAGCAATAACCAGGAACTATCACTCACTCCCTCCAAAGCCTAGAAACTTTGAGATTCTTCTGGAACAAGAGGTAGCTGCTGGCTTCTATGGCTGGTCCTTTTCCTCCCAGCGCCTGTAGCCACATCAGATCCTAACCTGCCTTCTCAGCCACACCTGCGATGAGGAAAATTAATACGAGATATGTTTATTAGCATAAGAAAATTTCTCAGTGCAAAAAGATCCTCATGGAATTTTTTAAAAACATGTACTGGGGTTTGAACTCAAGGCTTCACATTTGCTACCACTTGAGCATACCCTCACTTCATTTTTTTTTGTAATATTGGGGTTTGAACTTAGGGCTTCACAGTTGCTGGGCAGGTGTTTAACCACTGAGCCATCCGTCCATCCCCATAACCTGCTAATTGGTTGAGATAGGGTCCCACTAACTTTTTACCAGGGCTGGCTTCAAACCAGGATCCTCTTGATCTTCACATCCTAAGTAGCTGGGGTTGCAGCTGGGGTGTACTACTGCATCCAGCCCTCTGGATATTTTTTTAATTTACCTTGTTAACCTTTGTGTTTATGAGATGACTTTGGCCTGTTTGTTAAGACCAAGGACCGAGGGAACTCAGCTTCCCCAGCAAAGCCCAGGATAGACACAGCACATACTTCAAAGCTTGTGGGTACTTGGCTCTGCTTCTTACAGTTTGAGACCAGGCACCAGTGGCGTATGCCTGTGATCCTAGCCACTTAGGATTCTGGGATCTAAGGATTGAGATTTGAAGCCAGACATTAAACTCAACCCTTGTAACACTCTTGACTTTCCAGGATGAGAGGGGTCTGCCCACGGGAGACATGACGCCTGATTTCCATGTGTACTGCCTCTGCCCTGCCCAGCTGCCATCCCTGCTGACCTGGCTACAGCCACGCTAGCCTTTCTCTTGGTGTCATCCCAACCGTCACGCTCCTGTTTGTACAAATTAGTAACTCCTATAAAAAGAACTCCTTCATGTGCCCAAGGCCTGTTCGGTGGGTTCCGGCACTCTCTGCTTCCTCTCCTGAGCATCACCCTGTCACTGTCGCATACTTTGTCACCATCACTCTCCACATGCTCTCAGCCATCCCCTTGGCCAACCCCCATCACTTTCACAACACAGCTTCAAAGTCACTTCCTCCAGGAAGCCTTCTCTGGGTGCCAAGGTTTGGTTCTGACCCTCCTATGTGTCCCCACTGCCAATGAACTCCCTTCATCGCTTTGAATAAATATCAGTGGTGGATCATGCTTGTAATCCTAGCTAGTCAGGAGGCTGAGTTCTGAGGATCATGGTTTAAGGCCAGGCCAGGTAGAAAAGTCTATGAGACTCTTACCAACAATTAACACCCTCCCCCCAAAAAGCGGAGCTGTGGTTCAAGTGGTAGATAGCTAGCTTTGAGCAAAGAAGCTCACAGACATCTCCCAGGCTCTGAGTTCACACTTCAGGACTGACACCAAAAAAAAACCAAAATTATGGTAGTGATTTGGTAGGCTTTTTCTTTTTTAGCAAATGACTCTCTTCCTTTTTAAGTGTCTTCCTGATGGAAGGCATATGAAGCTATTTTTACCCAAAGGCTATAAGCCTCATCATTCTGGAAGGGGAAAGCTGGGCGTGTGCGAGGAAGCTGTCTGCCAGCCTTAGCTTCACAGCCCCATCAGCCCCTGCGGCCTCGCCTAGTTCTAGGTCATTCGGAAAAAGCAAGTTTAAATTATGTTCCAAATTAAGCAGTGGTTTTGTAAAAGGAGGAAATGCATACACCCGCTCACATACATTTCTATCTACATTTGAGGGCTAAATTAGAACTTGCACATCTTTCCAATTCTAATAAACTAGAACGTTACCAAAGCAAAGCCAAAGACCTCTGGCTGGAGAATGTCATGAAAAGGTCAGGACCGAGGGTGGCTTGGGAGTTGGGGCTCATTAGACTTTCCAACTGTCCACACCTTGTGCTGCTTGGCTTCCTGCACCAAACTGACTGGGCTCAGGGATGCCCAGACTGCTGGTGAACTCTGACTCCTGTGTGTGCCTATAAGGATGTTTCTAAAAGAGATTAACATTAGGATTGGTGTGATGAATAAAAAGGATCTGCCTCACCAGTGTAGGGGGCACCATCCAATACCTGAACAGAACAGAGGCAGCCAACACAAGTTCTTAGTGGCACTCACCTGTGATCCTAGCCGCTCTGGAGGCTGAGCTCTGGAGGATCACAGTTCAAGGCCAGCCTGAGCAGGAAAGTTCACTAGACTAAAAAGCAGGGCTGGCAGCTCAGCCCAAGTGGTAGAGTGCCTGTCTAGCAAGTACAAGCCCCTATGTTAAAATCCCAGTGCCTCAAAAAAAGAATCACAGATGTGGAGGGGCCATCTGTTCTCTACAGCCCACCAACATCAAGGCTTCTGGTGCTTGTAGGACCTGTACCATCAGCTCCCCAGTTCCTGCTGGGGAGCTTTGCCACCTGCTATCCTCAACTTCCAACTTGCAAAGACCAGACCATGAAATTTCTCAGCCTCTATAATCACATGTGCCAATTCCTCACAGATCTCTTGACACGTGCTTTGTGGCATTACTGTGATTTGAACTCAGGACCTCACACTCACTTGGTTTGCTTGCTAGGCTGGCACTCTACTACTGGAGACATTATCTTGGCCCTGGTTATTTTAGAAATGGAGTTTCACCAACTTTTCTGCTCAGGCTGGCTTCAAACCAAGATCCTTCAGATGTCAGCTTCCTGAGCAGCTCTCTCTCTCTCTCTCTCTCTCTCTCTATATATATATATATATATGATTTATATATAATATATATATAAGATTTATATATAAGAGATATATTTATATATAAATATATAAGATTTATATATAAGATATATTTATATATAAATATATAAGATTTATATAGAAGATATATATTTATATAAGGTTTATATATAAGATATATATTTATTAGCCAGTCCTCTGAAGGACTGACTAATACAAGCTATAAAGCCTTTTTTTTTTTTTTTTTTTTTTTAGCCGGGCGCTGGTGGCTCACGCCTGTCATCCTAGCTACTCAGGAGGCTGAGATCTGAGGATCACGGTTCAAAGCCAGCCCGGGCAGGAAAGACCGTGAGATTCCTATCTCCAATAAACCACCAGAAAACCGGAAGTGGCGCTGTAGCTCAAGGCTTTTTTTTTTTTTTTTGGATCCGGTCGTGGGGCCTGATCTCTGGGCCTGGGTGCTGTCCTTCAGCTCTTCAGCTCAAGGCTAGCGCTCTACCACTTGAGCCACAGTGCCACTTCCAGCTTTTTTCTTTTTGCTTATATGGTGCTGAGGAATCGAACCCAGGGCCTCAGGTATGCAAGGCAAGCGCTCTACCACTGAGCCACCTTCCCAGCCCAAGGCTTTTTTTTTTTGGTGGTGGGGCTTGAACTCTGGGCCTGGGCGCTGTCCCTCAGCTCTTCAGCTCAAGGCGAGCGCTCTACCACTTGAGCCACAGCGCCACTTCTGGCTTTTTGTTTTTTGCTTTAAGTGGTGCTGAGGAATTGAACCCAGGGCCTCAGGCATGCAAGGCAAGGGCTCTACCACTGAGCCACCTTCCCAGACCCCCTATAAAGCCTTTTTTCAGATAAAAATCCTACAGGAAAATCCACCTCATACTATGGCTTTGCTAAGCCATCCGAAGGGAGAGGTGACCCAGAGCCACTTGCTCTGCGCTCTGGGTTCTTCACCATCCTTTCTGAGACCCTGCCTGCCTCCAGGTGCAGCCGTTGGGCACCTTGCTTGCTATAGGAGAGGCTTTGCTGTAGTTTGACTATGTCCCCCCAAAAGTATGGTTGGGAAGCCTAATGTCCGATGCAACAGTGTGGGACTTTTGCGAGGTGCTTAGGCCACAGAGCTCCACCTTCACAAATAGTTTAATGATGATTTTAAATGGGCCAAAGGCTGTGGGCACTGGTGGCTATGCCTGTAATCCTAGCTACTCAGGAGTCTGAGGGCTAAGAATTGCAGTTTGAAGCCAGCCCTGGTAGGAAAGTCCGTGAGACTCTTACCACCAATAAACAAGAAAAAAGCTGGGCATGGTAGAGCATCGGCCTTAAGTGAAAAAGCCAAGTGAGAGCTTAAGGCCCTGAGTTCAACACACACACACACACACACACACACACACACAGCCCTGAATTCAAGCCACACACACACACACACACAGCGCTGAAGGTTATAAGCTGAATCCTTTGCTCTCGTGTATATGTGCTATCTTGGCCTTTTGCCTTTGCCATGGAACGAAGCTCTAGCCTTTCAACCTTAGACATTCCAGCCTCCAGAACCATAAGAAATAAGTTCTTTTTCAATTTA